ATGGAACTAAATAGAATGTAATCTTTTGGTACTGGCTTCCTGAATGTAATAGCTTTGAGATTCATCCATGGTGCTGGAATCAAGTGTGTTAACTTTTATTGCTGAGTTTTTATCTGTAGTCTTGTTGAACATTTGGGTTGCATCTGATTCTTGGTGATTACAAAAAAATGCTGCTATAGACATTTGTGTGCAGATTGCATATGAAAGATGCAGATTTCACTTCCTTAGGAAAAATACCTAAAGTGGTATTACTGGGTCCTGTGGTTAGAATATGACAATTCTTGACAACTCCTCCTTATCCATATGAAGATTCCCTTTCTCTAACATCTTTCAGCTCATTCCTTGACTCACTGAAATTCCCATTTCACTGAGCCTACCATTCTTTCATTGACCATCAATCTCTTCATTCTTATTGTTTCTTCCTCATACAACTTAGTTTTCATAATCCATTATACGGGCCATGCTCTTGGGACCATTCCTAACTCCCTCAAATATCCTTCTGGCTGAACCTTAACTCAGTAAACTCAACTAACTCACCCATTTTTCCTATTTCAGAGTAGAAAGGTGTGGTTGGAAAAAAATGCTTACTGTAATGATGGGTCCATTTATGGCCACAGATCTTATTTGAGCTTCCAATAATGATCACCAACCTGCCCTTATAAAATGACTATTTCATCCTCCTGTCTCCTCAAACCTCTGACAGCCCCCATTTCTCTCAGCTAATGGTTTTGCTTCATGTATCAACAAGGGATGGAAGTACTTGGAGTGGAGTCTCCTCATCTTCTCAGTACCAGTTGGACCGAGTGACTCATCCCCCATCCTTTGTCTGTTCTGCATCCCTGTTTTAGAAGGCTGTCCTGACCAGGCCACTCCAAAGCCGGTCCACTGTGAAGCACTAATTCCATCTGTGCCCATTCCACCTTTCAACAACTGTACTCCTGCAAGAGTGTCTTCCTTGCATTCATTAATTTCTCCCTCTGCCATCTAATATAGCTCATCTGAAAAAATAACCGTAAGTACCCTGGACAAATACTGTCTCGGCTAGGTGATCAAGGTCAGTATTGACAGTGACAAGTCAGGTTCATAGGTAATAAGCGTACATTACCTCCCAGAACCCAGAACCTTGAACCAGAAAATCAACAGATAAATCCAAATTGAAGGATGTTCTACAAAACACCTGACCAGTTCTTTTCAAAACCATCAAGGTCATCAAAAATACCAAAAAGCCTAAGAGAAGCTGAGGCAGACAGAATGGCTAAACGCAATTTGGTCTCCTGGATGGGATCTTGGAACAGGAAAAAGAAGGAGGGAAGGGCAGGAAAGAAAGGAGGAGAAGGAAGAAATTGGGTAAAAATGAAGGAAATCTGAGTACAGAGTTTAAATAATAATGTGTAATTATTGGCTCATTAATTGTGACATGTGTACCACAGTAATGTTAATAATGGGAGGAACTGGGTGCACGGAACTCTCTATAATATTCTCATAAGCTAAAACTATCCTAAAATGAAAGCTTATTAAATATTAAAAACACAGACTCACAAATTCCCCCAACCCATGTTTTCCTCCAGCTTCTTTCCATTTTCCTGTCTTTTTGATGAGGAAACTTTCTGAAAGAGCTGTTGTGTATCTGTCTCCCTGTGCCAGGCAGCTCATTTCTCAAACCACCATCAACCTATGCTCCTCACTCCCCACCCAAGCTGCTTCTGTGAAGGTCAAGGATGACTTCCGGTTAGCAGATCCCAGAGTTAATTTTTTCTCCTTATCTTTTCTTTCTGTTTAGTGTGTGGACAGCACATTCCTCACTTCTTCCAGAGGCACTGCCCTCTTGGCCTTGGGATACTAGCCTCCTGGGCTTCTTCCTGTACACTGGAGGCTCTTCTGAGTGACTTCCACTGCTACTGGGGTGGCCCCAGGCTCTATCCTAGTACCTCTACTCTTTGTTCTCTACTTTGTAAGGCACATTTACTTACATCGTATGGATTTCCAATCCACTAACCTACTCTGGGTTCCCAGTTTGTATCTGCAGCCTTAGCCTTAACGTAGGAACTATTTTCCTGTGCACCAAACAGAACAGCTGGCACAGGCTCTCAAAGCACAGAGCTGGGATTTGAACCCATGACTTTCTGACTTGAGGCTCGTGCTGTGGGCTGCTAGGCGTCTTGGTAGCCTTTCCTATTGTGCCACCCCTGTCCTGCTTGCTCCCCCAGGGTCAGCTGCATTTGCCGCAATAGTGATTTTGTGCCTTTGCCCCTCTGGTACAGTCTCCTGGACTGACTTTCCTTCCCTACCTCTAGTTCTTCTCTGCCTCAGCTCCCAAGACCAAGGCTGACCTCCCCTGGCTACCTCTAAACCCTTTCAGGAGCTGGACTCCGCCCCAAAACACTGAGGCGGGGAGGCTTATTTGCATCTGTAAATGGTGGGTGTTTCTGAACCCACCGTGGGGCTCTTGGCACAAGTGCACATATGAGGACAATGGAGCCTAAGGTCTATCTTAGAGACTGCAGGTAAGCTGGGCCCCAGTCCTGCCTCATCCACGCCATCTCAGAGGGTCTAGGTCACTCAAGATAGCTTCTTTTTTTGTGTCCTCTACTAGCTGGTAAGCTTTTGAAGAGAAGGACCAGGACTCCATTGGAGAAGACCTATTTTAGAAGATCTATTTAGTGTGTGTGTGTGTGTGTGTGTGTGTGAGGTGGATTGAGGACACACTTAAAAACCCTTTTCTCCTGGCTCCTGGGTGGCAGTAAAGAGAGTCAGTCTACAAGTGAAGGAATTCAGACTTTACCAAGGTCACTGAGAGGCCAAGCAGTTCCCACAGCGGTCACTGGGTTCACGGGAAAGTTTGGACAGGAGTGATACTTGGACTGACCATTTTAGAAGAACTGAAAGTATCCTGAGGGAAGTCACCAGACCAGGCTGGAGACTGGGGGCAGGGTGGAGGGTGCTCCCTGGCTCATGGGCCTGACTCCTGGAGGAGAGACGGAGCTGGCCCAGGGAGGGCGTGGAGGCTTCTTTCCTGTCTGTAAGTTCACCTCTGACCCCATGATGCTGGCATCAGCCCTGCCACTTAGTCACTGTGTGACTATAGACAAGCCACTGTTTTTTCCTGGGCCTGTCTCCTCATCTCTAAAATGAAAAGTTGGAAAGTTAGATGATGGAGTTGGCCATGGTGTTTCTTGGCCCCTTACAGCACCCGGAGTCAACCCAAAACAACACATCCAGTGAGTGCCATCCTGCTGACCCTAGACCATCCCTGTCTCAGGAAAAGAGGGGCCGATTAATGTAACCACTCTTAATACAGGATTCCCAGTAAAAGCTCTTTATCACAAAGAACAGAGGATGGGCAGGGGTCCAAGGCAAAAACTGTAAATCTAGTTGAATCTTGCATCCTGTAAAGGAAATGAGTCTGCATTGTATCTCTAGAAAAACCAGAGTTCAACTGTGCATTAGAGACCATGCAGGGATAGGATTGGTTTCTCCCGAATGGATCAGCAGGGGCCTTCTCTACCCAGTGGGGCCTGGGGCTCCAGCCTCGGCTTTGAGTCCCCTTCCCACAGAGATTTCTCATCCAGAGATCACCTGTTGGGGCAATGTCGCACCCACTGGTTTCTGCTTGCGTAGCAGAGAACATGTAGAGTCAGGAAGAGATCCAAGGGCTCCGGAGTTGCCAGTTCAGTCCAGGGACCCTGACCTTGGACCTCTGGGCACACAGGCCCATATCTACTCTAAGCCACCTGCATTTTGAAAAACAAACTATGAAGTCAGGTTCGATTAATCCAGAGTCATCAATGGATTGCTTGAAACAGAACAAAAATGAGGCTTCTGTGGGTCCGGTGTCTGGTGCTTGAGAAATTGAGGGGAGTCCAAGTGCATCTAATTCATTAGGAACAATGGCTTTGCTGGGTCCCTTCTTGCTGGACTTCGGAGCAAAAACTTGAACTGTGCCCTATCCCTAGGTGCTGGAGGGCACACTCACAGCCTTGGGTATGGGTAAAGTCAGTTTGCCCCAGGACAGCATTAAAGACCCATGGGGTCTTGCTGGGGGCTTGACCGTTCTAGGCTTGACTCCTGAACTTGCCCATGCTCTGATGCAACTCCGCTCTTGAGGGCAGGCTGAGATATGTCAGCTGCAGAAGAGGTTTAGAAAAGAATAGGTGATATTTTTAGGGGGTCCAAGATGGTAGGCAAAAGTGGGAGCCTGGCAGAGCCCAGAAAATGCAACCTGAAGCTTCAGGCACCAAGATGGGGAAGAGAAGAAATGAGAAGAATAAGCAGACAAACCAGAAGGAGGTCTAAAGTTAATGTAGTACAGACAAGGGTTTTCTATTTGAAAATCAAAGCAGGGTCCTTGCATAAAATACAGAGTGCATAAGAGGAGAAAAGCACTGGCCAGGACTAGGTTCAAGGTATGCTTCTCCTGTAAATGACCAGGGACTGGTACAAATCACTCGGTCTGAGTCTTCATTTCTCCTGGAAAATGAGTGCCCACAGCATTGCTTAGGCCCAAGTGAGCTAAGGAGGTCGATGATCAATGCTGGGCTTTAGAGGTGCTCTGTCTGGGGCTGAGGTTATCTTTGCTCTTTCCATCCATGTTCCATCTTCCCTGCTCAAGCCCGGTCACCTCCAAACTGACGTCTTTTCTGACTGTGGAAGTGCAGGCCACCCTTTCCCTTGGGAACCTCCACTCCATGTGCAGCGTGGGCACACATAGCCCAGCACACTGCCTTGTGTAGCTTTCTGAAGGCAGACACCATGACTTCTGTCCTTGGGTTCCCCCACAGGATCCTGAAAAGGTCCCTGCAGCAAGGAAGAAAATACCTGCAGAAATGCTGCTGCCAATCATTAATAATACTCTTCCCTTTCTTCACCAGGGTTCCTGTCAGCTTGCCCAGCTGTCTCACTGAGGTCAGTGCCAATGTTCATGCTCTGAAACTATTTAATAAATACTTCACTTTCCATTGGCACAGCCTGTGACAAATCTACAGGAAATAAGAGCCACCAGCAATGATAGAATCAGAATACTTTAATAAGATATCAGTGTCAAAATACATTTCCTTATAAAGTTAAGCTCCCATACAGTTATAATGTTGTCAGTAGAAATTCAACAATATAATAATGTTCATGAAGTTGTTATGTTGACAGGTATGGTTAATATGAAGCTTGGAATATTTTTCAAAGTGTTTTAGTCAAACTGAAAGGGTAAAATGCCCTGAATGCTGAGGCAACACATAGAGGAAATCAAATACCACCGTTTGTGTGTCAGTAACCCTTCAAGTTCTGCCACTGAATGGCGGGCCCCATTGTGATACTAAAGTAAGCTTTAGAGAACACAGTAATTATGTAATTTTTCTCATAACTTGGATTTCTTTTGAAAGTTAATTTTTGGTTTTGGCAATAAGTCCCTCTAGGCTTCCCAAATTCTTGGCCTGATGTGTTTTGTGTGTGTTTAGAAACTTATTGTAGCCATGACAGACAAGTTCCATGTTGATTGATATTTGAAACCCGAAAGATGTCGTCCCTCTTACCCAGTGAGTTACAAAGTGCTCTGGGAACACTATTTTCAGTGCTTCCTATCACTACCTGTCACTTCCTGTGACAGACATCTCAGAGAGGGCCTGAGGTTAGGGCCCATCCCTGGAGGGCTGCCTGCCAGCAGGGGGCGCTGCACCATGGCCTGTGGACAGCCTTGTAGGGCTGTCTGGTAGGCTGACGGAGGGACACAGGACTGGTTGGGACCGTCAGGACCCGAAACTCTCCATTTGGCACCCTCTCTCAGTGTGGCTCCAAGGTCATGAGCTTAGGAGGACAAGACCAGGTCATTTCTGAAGCATTCCCATCAAAACCATTTCATGGTAGTTCTGGAAATACCCGAATGTGCTGCATGAGGGACCAATACAGTCAGCTCAGTGCACTTGAAGGGCTAGCAACACCACCTTAAGGAAAGTTAAAGCAGCTTCTCTCCCTTAGCATTCTCCCCACCCCCACCCCTGATGTGCCAGCAGACCCTCTTGGCAGCAATACTACTACATACATCCATGCACAACACACAGAGAACACAAGGAGAAGATAGCTTGCAATGCTCCCACTTGGATTGTTTGTCACACCTATGGCATAACAAAAGCGAAGAGCCAGCAGAGAGTGAGTGAGCAGTGTTAGTCTAGGCCTGTGGGAGTACTGTACAATTCTGCAGGGTCAGCAACACTGCAGAAGAAGAAAATTAACAGCTTCAGAAAGATCTTAAAGTGATCTTGTGAGCAGGATTCCATTTCTAAGTTTTTAGATATTACAAAGTACCCATATATATGATAAACACTTAACCCAGATATAAATTTTCCTTTAAAAAACTCAGTTATGCTTTTGAATAATAATAAAAAAATCCACCCGATAGGGGGGCACCACACAGTTCAGGAAAAGCCATACTGCACAACTTTCACAGGTAACCATATACATTGGAGTTCACCCTTCACATTGCCTTTTTCCCCATAAGTCATATCAAAATTAGAGCAAAGAGTCAGCTTTAACAACAACAGCAACAACAACAAAGTGAAATTTACAATATGGTGATGAGTTTTTAAAAAGCAAAGGAGAAAGTCTTTGAGAGAGAAAAGCCATAAATCAAGTTTAGAAAGCAAAATCCTTTTGTTTTTCTTTGGCAACAACAACAACAAAAAATCTTAGTCAAATGAAGCCAAAGCTTTTCCTACCAGAGAACAAACATACCTCAGGCTTGTTAGCATGGATGGTGTGGATGTGTGAGAGAGAAAACTCTGGGTAATATAAATTAGAAGTCATCGAAGGTGGGGAGGGAGGATCTTATAAAATTTAAGAACATTTTCATTGACAGCAAAACATAGCAGGTAAAACGACTGTGTATTTTAAAAATAATGACATTTTAAGTGAGCATCTCAGAAAAAGGCCACTGCTTGGTGACCTGGGCAAATCAGCCAGGTAAGTACATCTTGTAAAAAGTATGCTGGTGTTAGAAATACCTAGTTGCAAAAACAGATCTAGAGTGAAGCTGGCGGGACAGCATTGGCGGGGTGTGCCTGTCAGGAGGCCCTGGCTCAGGTAGCTTGATCCAGGGCTCTGAGGAGGTCCCCTCCTTGCAGGAGCGTGGAGCTTCCTGGCACAGGAACGTTCACCTCACAGTCATATCTAGTCAGTTCGGGTAGCAGGTAGGGCTCAAATGAGGGCCCAAGCAGCCGGCTTGCTATCCCTGAAAGAAAAAAGCCTGGATCAAACACTGGCAAAGAGGCAATTCCATTTTCAGATTAGTGGGGTTGGGTGGGGCACCCCAATCTCACCGAGTTCCTTCACCACTGTCTTTCACAGGACCTAATTTATTTCCCTATTTGGGTCCAGCAGAGAATGTGTCTGCTTCCATCCCCATTCCAGCAGTGCTGAGACCCAAGGAAGGGGGAGGCAGACTGCGCAGAGGCAGGGTTTGAGGCAGAGGTTTCCCTCGTGTGACTGCCTAGCCCGAGAGAAAGAGGCTCCAGGAAGAGCCTGGCAAGGACTAGGGTTGCAGATCTCATACCCCTGTGCACTTGCAGCATGGAAGAAAGGGAATTTGGAACACCCGGGCCCCTCTGCATGCGTGTATGTACACACACGGGCATGCATGCATGCCTACACGGAACACATGCATGGGGGTGGGTCTTTCTCCAAGATTCAAGGCTTTGAAGACCCTGTGCCTGTCACTATGTGCTGGAGAGCACCTCAGCAGGCTGCTGCTTTCCCGGGCCTTATCTGCAGGGCCTCATCCTCCTTGGCCCTTCCTTCCTTTCCCACCCCTCACTGGCCTGTGCCAGAATGGTATCAGCAGATCCTTGGTGCTATGCCCACTTCTCTTATTCACAGTCAGAAATGATCTAAATTGAAAAGATGAGATTGAAGGAAACTTGTGGAGTTCATAAGGGAAGAACAATGCTGGCTATTGCTGACTGAACACAGACATATGCCAGTCACCCAACTCAACACATGACATGAAAATCTCTCATTGAAACTTTCTAGCTGGCCCACTGTCCAGCTGGTAAATAGCAGTTCTGGAATTTAAAGCTGGTCTCTGAGCATAAAATTATAATCTTCCCTAAACTATACTTCTGAGGACAAGGCTCTGGTATGTTTTTCCAAAACTATACATTATGCTCATGCCAAACACACTTTTCCACAAAGTCGTCTATGTTCTGCATGTACATTCTGCAGAACCTTCAGAAGCCAGAGTCCAGTGGTTGGGTTGTCTCTCCCAGAGCCCCAGGCTGCCCTCCCAGAAGTGCACAGTTTCTGCTCAGCTTCTGTGACCACAGAGCAATGTGAAAAACAGGAAAAGACTCAGGCTCTGGGACTCTGAGGGTAGCAGAAGCCCTGGAGTTGACCTGGTCATTGGAAGGTTCCTTCCAAAGCACTGAGAGCCATGACCCGCCATCTTGTGCTATCTGTCTCTAGGTCCTTGTGTTCCTCCCTTTCACGCCCAGTGTTCTCTTCAACAGTTCCTGACATGTCACAGCCTCTAGTTTCTTATTACCCCGGCTGTCCCTTTTCTTCTAAAGACATGCTCCCATCAGTCCTCAGCCTTCAGTTCATCCAACAGTGTGGGGCTCAGGGGCAGGATGCCCAAACAAACTCCATCTCTCTTGGATTTGCATTCTCCTTCAGATTCTGCAGCCTGAGACCATGTTAGGTGTTCTAACATTTCTAGTCATGTCTTAGGCCCACCCCCTCAGGGGCCTAAATCTGAGGGAGACTGAGCCTTGGGAAGGGGCTCTTTGGGCAAGCCATTGCCCTTTTAATGACCCCAACCCTGGGAAACTGGACACCTAGCACTTAGTATAGCACCTGGGAACAGCAGGGACTCTATGAAGGCAAGTGTTTTAAGTTTTGAAACTTTTCCAAATACGACACTGTTCTCTGTGAGGGTGTCTGTCTCCATTGCCCTGCCAAGCCCAGGCCCCTCAGTGCAGCAGTCTGGGATGTGGTGGCAGCCACCGAGTACCCACCTGACACCGTGTGAGTGGAGGGCAGGCTGTAGTCCTGGTAGGCGGCAGCATAGCACTGTGGGGGGAACCCACCCTTGGCATTCTCCGCTGGGCTTACAGCAGATGGTGGTTGTGGGGGTGGCAGGTGTCGTAGGGGCTGGCTCAGGCCCCTCAGGGAGTTTTTGTTGAACTCATCTGAAAGATCAAGGTTGGAGAGTGAGTATGGTACCATCTGACAGAGGGGAAAGACATTAGAACCCTGAGATCTCTGCTAGCCCATTCTCACAGGCTCAGGAAGCAAGTGAAGGGAGAAGCTGGATGGGTCCCTAGTGCCTGGCCCTCCACAGAACCCAGGGCCACTCACCTGCGGGGACGTGAACGTTTCTCAAGGGCTTGTCAGGCACCAAAGGGCCAGGCCCGCTCCGGAGACGCTTTATGCGTTTCCACATCAAGTGTGAACTGCTGCTGCCTGGAGAGTCCCCCTGCATGGAAGAAAGACAGATATAAGGAGAGGGACTGCCGGGGCCACCCAGAGGTCTAGGGCAGGCTCTTGGTGAGGGGTGCCCACCGCACTGTGTCAGCTCACCCCACTCGAGTCCTGGAAGGCTCGATCCTCATATTCCAGCTGTCGCTTCAGCTTCAGCTTGTTGGAGAGGGCTATCATGGCTGGGCTCATCACGTCTGGGCCCCGAGGCCCGCAGCCCTTTGCAGACCTGCCAAGCCCAAGAGAGCCGGCTGTGAGGAAGTCTGGAGCCCACACTGCCCAGTGCCTTCACCTGGACTGAAGGGCAGAGTCTTGGGGCTGAGGTTTAAGGAACCTCCAGTCTGCAGCCTGGATCAAAGCTTGTCCTGCTCCAGGCCTTGCAGCCCTCAAGGTGAACCCCAGAGCTGAGCTCTCAGAGTTTGAGAAGGGCTGGCTGGAGCATAAGAACCCTGTGTCTAGGAGGAGGGGACAGTGCAGGGAGCCTCCCTGGGGCCCTGACTGTCCCACCAGTGGTTGCCTATCTGTCCCCTCCCAATGCAGCCAAGTGTCTCTGCCACTGACCTCATCTTGAACATGGAGACATGGGGCGAGGCAATGGGGTGCTCCAATGGCGATGTCCCCAAGCACTCGGTGTGTGGCTCCCCACCAGGCCACTTTGTGGGCCCGAAATGTAACGGCGGGTCTGGGGGCCACTGCGTGTTGGATCTGCCGCCCATGGACGAGAGAGGGGTGCTGGCCTGGCCACAGCACGATGGCAGGGATCCCTTGCTCCCAGCATCGAAGAAGATAGAGGACATGGGCCGGTGGTCCGGCTCGGTCTTCTTGCCCTCTAGCTGCTGCCGGTACTTGTCCAGGAGGAAAGGGCTGTGACAGGCCATGGGGGCCAGTGGCTGGAAGATGCTTGTCATGGCACTGAAGCATGGCTGGGGGGTGGGCTGCAGGCTCTCAGGCAGGTGTGGCTCCTCTGGGCAGATGGGGCTCAGCTGGAAGTCCTCCCCATCCATGGGGATGTAGGGCGCCAGAGTCTCCAAGTCCAACTCATTGAAATCCGTCTGAGGAAGGATCAAGCAAGCACAGGGAGGCTCAGTGATTGGGGCCATTCAAGCTCCACCCCTCCCATGCATCTCAAGCATGCTTCACTGTGTCATTCCCTGCTCAAACGCCTCCACTGGCTCCCTATGGCCAGCTAGTGTGCAGGGCTTCTACTTTGGCATGTTAGCCTTTCCATGGGTTCATTCCTGCTCCATGCACCACTGGTGTTACTTCTACAACTCAGCCTGAGGTGTGCCCTCTCTCTACATTCCACCTGTCCAAACCGCCTTCCCTCCCAGCCAGGTAAGCCCCAGTACGCTGCTGCAGTAGCTGCCCCTGCATGGCTCAGGCTTGTGGTGACACTGTGGCATCTGGGGACAGAGGACAATTTGTCTTCACGTCCCTGTGTCCAGTCACAGGCCTAGACACAGACTCTCTGGGATACAGTTGGCCTCCAGTGGCAGAGGGACTTCTGTTCCCATCAGCAGGTGCTCCACGGCTACCTCTAGTTCCCAGGGTCACCACAAGCATCACAGTGAATACGCCTGAGCAGATGCAGAAAACCGTTTCTGCCTTCAGAGACTGAGCTCCTCACTGTGGGTGCAGCTTGGTACTTGGATACAACTACAGGACCTAGCCCAGGCACGTGGTTCTGATAAAATGCAAACAACTCCCTCGGGAGTCCTGAGGGGAGGGTGAAAGAGCAACGAAAAGTTTTGTGGAACCACTGGACTTTGTGCCAGGTAAGATGAAGGTACAAGGTGGAAACTGAGATGCACCAGCCACACTAAAACAAATAGCTGCATATGGATTCTCTCTGGGTTTTGTAAAATACTTTCCCAGCCATCTACCCCCTCCATTTATGTCATGTGTGCAAGAACACATGGCCTTATGTAGTGAACATATTTCTGAGACGCTATATATAAATGAATAATCTCAGAGGTCATCTTAAATGCATTTCAAGTCAAATGAATTATTCTTAAAAATTCCAAGATGAATGTGTTCATGAAGGAAGTCATTGGCCCCTATGTTGGGAAATGTCTTGAGTCTGGATACGCTTTAGGCGGATGCTTCCCTTAAAGGTTCAGTGCTGTAGTTGTGGCTTGCACGTGTGGGAGGAAAATGATCCAAGAGAGGAGATAGTAGTTGAGTGTTAAAGACGGAAGCTCTGGCTTTGACGTGGGTGTAAAGTGGAGGTTGGGAGGTCTTCTAGAGCACTGGCCACCACAGGCTCCTTGTCCCCGCACCCTTGCCCATTTTATGGGCCTCAGCCACGCTTCCCCAGTGGTCTTCGCAACACAGGATGGGTAAGAGCCTTTATCACCCATTAGATGGTAGGGACCCACACCACGCTGGTCTGCTGCCCAGCTGCCTACCTGGGTGCTGCACTGGTCCTTTGCCTCTGTATCCATGGCAAAGAGTTTCTCGATCACTTCAATCTTCAGGTCATCCCCCAGAGAAGTGTAGTAGTCTCCGGGGCTGCTGGGCTGGAGGCCAGGAAAGAAGGGGACCCAGTCAAGGCCAGGGCCCTCATCTCCCTCATTCAGTGTGGAAGGAGAAACCCATCCCCAGATCCACTCAGCTCCATTCCACCAAGTGTTTGTAAGGGGGCTTCTGTCTATGAGCTGTGTGAATTAGGTCAACTCATCAACTCTCTGAACCTCAGTCTCCTCATCATGAAATGAGGTTTTGTTGCTTCACAGGATGTCAGGAGGAGCAAACTGGACAAAGGCTGGGGCCAGCAGGGCTGTGCACAGGCACTGAGGGTGGTGCTCAAGGACTGGCCACTGTGACACAGGTGGGGGATGGATGCTGACAGCTAGTGAGGGGCTGTAATCCCTGGTGGTGAATGACCCTGGTATGCTAGGGCTAGGGGTAGGTGCAGCACTATACTTCTGTTGAGCTTTCCCTTTAGCAATCTGGCAGCAGTAGAAGGAGGAGGGGCCCTGTCTTCACATCCGCACAGGGGCTGGGGGCTCACCGTGGAACAGCTGCTGCTGCTTGTGGTACTGGGGGTACTGCTCCCTGGGGCAGCCACCTGGGGTACGGTGAAGGCAGGCAGGCTTCCAGCCTCGCTCTGGGCACTGTGGCTCCTCACCTCTGCAGCCCATGGCTGGCCCGGGGGCAGGATGGCCTTGCCAAAGGCTGAAGACTCCTTGAAGTTCTGGTTTCCTGTGAAGACAAGGGCCTGCCTGATGAGCACCCACAATCCCTATGCTGCCCTAGAAGGGTCTTGACAGATGTCAGGGCCTCAGCTGGGAGGAACGAATGGCCTCTGACTGGGGCTGTGATTCAGTGTGTGGACTCTGTAGGGAGCAAACACTTTCCTGGAACATTTAATTTTCAGGAGCTGCTCCTCCCTGTAGCGCAACCTAGTGTCCTTCAGCACTTCGTGAGGACAGGTTTGAGGTGGTTTTACTCAGAGGCAGGGGCATATGCAGTTCTTCTGTGCCCAGCAGAGCCTGGCTAGGTGAGCAGGAAGATGTGGGAATAGGCTGGGGCAAGTCTGGTTTAGGAGAAGCTCCAGCTAAGAGGCACCCACCGAAGTCCAGAGAGATGATGGCATCCCCTGGAGTGGGGGCCAGCTGGGCCAGCTCCTCGGGTTCCTCCTTCAGCTTGGTGAACAGGAAGTTGCTCTTCTCAGATGCAGCCCTCTCGTCACTGCTGTCAAAGATGCTGTTCATGGCCATGACATGGGGCTTGAACAGGGATTCGGTCTGGTCCATGGAGAACACCACGTCATTCTTCTCAATCTCACTAGCGGGACAAGAGAGCCACTCAGACCTTCCACATTTTCTAGCAAAATTCTTCGGCTCCCTCCGACGCAGGAACCCTGAGGGCCAAGCCTTTCAGACCAAAGGACAGGCAGTGGCACTGTGTGTTGGCATTTTGTAAAGAGCCACACCGTCCAAACCTGAGCTGTGGAGGCAGTGACGAGAAGGGAACCCTCTGACCATGCATGTCTGGGGGCCGCACTCACTGCGCCTGAGCTGTGTGGATGCTTCTGCCTGTACTTTTTAACCTGAGCAATGACTTCCTCTGGTGTCTTCCAGGTGCTGGAGAGGGAAGGTGTTGTACCCACAATTCTGCTTGTTTCCCCATCCAGAAAATATTAAGTGACTGCTGTGTGCTATCTACCTCTCCAGGTGTGTCAGAGAGATGGGATAATGACAGGTAAAGGGGCAGAAAAATTCCCAGGGATCCCACTGTTCCTAGGAGCCTCAGGGAGGTCCTCTGAGTCTAGGACTAGAAGGACTAGAACTGCAGTGGCTCCCAGATATGGTACCCCATTCCTAGAGGCTGGAGTACCAGGGCCTCTCCATACCTGGCCAGGCCCTCAGCCCTCACACACTTACCTCAGGACATAGTTGACGCACATGATGCACTGGGGCTGCAGGTTGCGAGGGTTGTAGATGACAGTCCCCTGCGTCTCCAGCCACACGTAGCCCCCATGCTTTGCGAGCATCCGGTACTGGCCACTCACAACCTGGCCTTTGGTGCACACTGCAGGAGGAGGGAGGAGCCCAAGGTCAGAGAGGTGGGGGAGGTCAGTCTGCAGGAGGGCAGGGAGGAGCTGGGAGGGAGCTTAGAGATCATCTTGCCAACCCTTCATATGAAACAGAGAAAAGGTTAAGAGAGGTACACGACTCTCCCAGAGCTGTCCAGGGAGGGAGAAACCTCACTCTGCAGCTCTGCCAATCATCAGCCCTAACCAAACCAAGCTTCATCTATAAGCAGAACCAAGAGCAGCACATTCCCTCCTTTCTTCAAGTCCAGGGAGAGGAAGCCCTTCCCTGTCACACCCTCCAGGAGGGGAAGGGGCTTGCATGCAGCCAGCAGAAAGCCTGATCGAAAGGTCACCCTTTGCAGCAGACCCTTCATCATATCCTGCTTGTAAATTCTGCCTTTGATTTTTCTAAGTCTTCTGTCAGCCCACCTCCACTGAGGCCAGAGGAGGTTCAAGGCCAACCACACTTGGGGGAGAGGTCAAGACAGGGCTGGTGATAAGTCTTCTGCTCCTCCTCCCAACTGCTCAGCGAGGCTACCTGCTTATGGCTTCTTTCCTCTTCCAGATTCTGTTCATTTAAAATGTGTTTTTACTATTTAAAAGCATTGAGGAAGGGGTCCTACATCCCACACTATCCTCAGTCCAGAAAGCTCCATCTGCTTTCTGGAATTGATAAATCTCTTTACACCCAGGTCTGCTGCTGTTAGAATTTCTGGTGAAATTGCTTTAATTTCTTGGGAATTCATTCTTTTAAATCCCAGCTCAGAAGATTCCAAGTGTATGAGACCAGATAATGAGGATCAAGGCCTAACTGACCTTCTCTCCAAGCACAAAAGAGAAGAACAGCAAGCTGTACCTCTTTTGGCAATGTGCAGACATGCTGGGATGTTGTAAGGTCCAGAGAAGAGTCAATACAGCTGAGACCTGGATGTTTACCTGGGTACATGCTCTAGATAATAAGAGGCAGATGAATCTTCCATTAACCTAATTGCTTGCTCCCTTGTCTAAGTGAATAAAAGTGAGGTGAGCCAAATGCTCAGGGCTCTTTGTCCACTAGAGGCAAGAGCCTCCTGTTTCCCTTGTTCTAAATTATCTTTATGTCTTTTGTCTTTCATTGTCATTCACCCCTGGTTGGGATAAACTCATAGGCTGGTTCCTACACCTAAGTCATAGAGAAGTGGGAAGAGGCCTGATGGAAATCTTTCTAGTTTGAGTGGGAAAGGAGCAACCCTTGGTTTGTTTTTTCCCTCTACAATATGGGGTATTGATAATGGTAGCAAGGATAACTGTCATTATTAGCTCCTTTAGTATGCCACTGCTACTTGTACCAAGGGTCAAATGTACTTGCCTAGCTTACTCATGCCCAAACTACTAAAGTGTATAGTGCTCAGGCCTGTGACAAATAATTACGATACATGTTTGTAGGTAACACGGGAGAATACCCAGGTTTTCTGTAAACACATGGTCTTCCCAGTTTTAGTAGGCTCATGGCCCATCTCCCCATCCAGTAACCCTGTATGGCAGAGGAACAGAGCTTGATTCACGATGAGGCTAACTGTAATCCTTAATGCTTATGTTTTGCTGGGCACAGCTGACCCCTTCCAACATTTCCAAGCACTGGCAGGGTTCAGGAATGACTAATTTACATGTGTATAGGGTCTTGCAGTGTCCAAAACTCTCATGAGTGAATTCATTTTTGTAGAGCAATTAGCTCAGTTGCCTGGCACATAAAGCACTCAATGTGGATTAGTGCCATTGTTACCTCACTTAAGCAAGAGCTATCTGCTACCATTCCTGTTTCACGTTGGAAGAAACTGCCATTCATACAGATTTCCCTTTGCTTAGAACTATTGAGTGATTTGTTGAAAGGCTTCCTCAGAAACAGCACATAGGACTATAGGCTAAATTAAAGACTCCTACTCTGGCTTTTGTTAGCTTTTCATTTTCAAAAACTTTATTGTGGGCTGTGGTGGCGCATGCCTGTAATCCCAGCACTCAGGAGGCTGAGGCAGGAAGATTGCTGTGAGTTGAAAGCTGGCCTAAACTACACAGCAAGTTCAAGGCCAGGCTGAACTATGAAGTGAGACTTTGTCTCAAAACACTGAGATTTAACTTACCTTCAAAAATGCACTCATTTTCAATGAATTTTGGCAAATGTACGCACTTAACTATCACCATGGTGAAGGTATAAGCACTTTTCTATCATTCCCCCCAGACAGCTACTGATTAAACTGTCATATATTGTCTCTAGTAGATTTTCATTTACATAGAATCATACAAGAGTGTGCACTTTTTGTGTCTGGCTCTGTCAAAATCAGCATGTTTCAAGATTCATCATGTTATTGTAGGTATTTGTGGTTCATTCATTTTCATTGCCAAGAAGCATTCCACTGTATGGATGTACCATAACTAGTTGAGTTTTTAGTTTTTGGTCATAAAGTTGTTATAGACATTTGTGTGTAAATCTTTGTATAGATATTTTCATCTCTCCTGGGTGCAACTGCTGGATTATATGCTAAGTGTAAGTATACATAAGAAGCTATCAAATTATTTTCCAAAGTGATTGCATCATCCCAGTCTAATCTTTTTTCACAAAATCCTGTGCCACAGGGATGACAAGTATCATTTTGTGTTATCATGAGGAAAGTAAGGCCAGGAGAGTCATGACTCAGTTCACATAACACAGGACAACAGTGACTAAGTCGGGGCTAAGTGACAGGTCCTGTGGTTCCTAGCACAGTGTTCTCTTACTGCATCATTTGGAGTCAGAAATGAGGGGGAGGGAAACCTGCTGGATTCCTCAACCAAATCATTACCTTGTGGCTTTTCCCTTCCCCTCTCTGTGCCGTCCAGGACCCACTGCTGCAGTGGGATGCTGCTTGCACAATTTCAAGTGCCTGGCATTCATTATTTAGACAGTTCTTAATGCAAACCAAATTCAAGCCTCTTATTCTTTTTGATTGAACAGTGCAGCAAGCAGAGGTTTTAACTGCGTTTCTAGTAATTGCAGGCAAGGGCCTGCTCTGTCAGTAGAATATAATTAATGGCAGCTTTCTAATCATCTGCTCATTAATGCCAGCCTTGGTGAGGGGCCTGCTACTTAGTAGGGCAATAGGCTTTTTTATGGCCTTTAATCTTGTTTTCCTAAGAGCACACGTCCTCAAACAACAAAGAGAAGCCGACCCCAGCCTCTCCTCTGAGAGTGACAATGTATAAATTATTAATCCATTTGGAAATGATGGCTTTCAATTATCTCAATCTGGTTGAAGACTGAGCTTCCCTGGTAAACACTGACAGGATGAGACACACACATACATGTGACAACTCAGGACCTCAGTATGTAAACTTGGACCAGCCTCAAACCTAGGCCTCTAGCTTCTCCACAGCACAAGTGCAAATCTGTGCAAGTTTATTAATCCAAAGACAAATTACACACATACCCCCATACTCTGGGGAGACCGACTCCTGTCATAAATGACATTAACCCTGTTTCAACCCATGAAGATTTACCTTTCCAGGATGTGGACTTGCAGGCTGAGCACAGGGCTCTGAGTTCAGGGTAGCTTTTTGTGGCTCTCTCAGGAGAAAAGGGGAACCTGTGATTTCTATTTGGGCTATGAATAACCTCTAAGTGTGCCTAACGCTTAAACAATAAAGCATTAGCAGCAGCACCAACAAAACAACAAAATCCTGGCATTTTTCCTAGGAGTCAGCAGAACCAATAGGGGTAGAATCCTTTTAATAGATCGAAGGGGTTAAAAGTCCCCCCTTTTTTGTTTCTTTGATGGTAGTTTCTCCATAAGATAAAGTACAATACTGTTCTCTAAGAATTCCCCAAAATTTTTTACATTTGTTCCCTGCTTTGGCTTCCTCCTTGGTTTGGGAAGCTGGACTTATCTAAATTTTACATGTAAAGGCACAGAGGTGCAGAAGGCCAGGCCTTGGGGAATGAGCAGGTCAAAGCTAAGCCTGTAGCCTGATGCCTGGCTGACCCTGCTAGTCTGCCTTTAGGAGCAGGACCCATCCCTCTGGGGTCAGAAAAGCATGAGCCCCATAGAGAAGCCTGGAGCCACATCCTACAACCCTGCCTCAAAGCTGGAGCAGGTTAGAGCTGGGTCACATTCGTGGTACACAAGAGTACCGCCTCCTTCCCCATCCCTGGGTTCCTGAGTGGGTCTGCGCCTAGGGTTTTGTGTGTTTTTGTTGCTGGGAACCACAGAGAAAACCTGCTTGAGATATCACTGTGGCCCCTGTTGTACTGTCAGATCAAACACAAAAGCCACCAGGAGGAAACAGAAGGGCCAGTGACAAAGAGCAGACCTCTGTGAGAGTCACCTGTGCTCATGTGCAGCTGTGGGCTGCCAATCTGTTGGCTGCTCTGAGCCTCAGCTGTCCTGGCAATGAGATATAAGGATAGATTTAGGAACAATGGACCAATAGAGTCCATTTTCTTCATTGCCAGTAGGGCCACTGGGAATCTTCTCAGACTTATCCATTTTCATCCTTTTATACTCTTCTCAGCAACTCTGTCTACATCAATGTGGGCATCCTTGGAATCTATTCTTCCCCAAACATTATTCATTTGGTGATACCACGTTAAGGGTATCAGTCATCTAGTTTCCAGGGAAACCACATTCCTCTTTTTTTCCTTAGAAATCAAATTCCTTAGGATAGAGATCAGGTCTACCAATTCCTATGGTCCCTATTGGCCAAGAACAGGGTGTTAGGTCCAGAGTCTTTGCATGCCGATGGTACCCAGATTCAAGGAAATTATTTTGGGTCACTTGCAAATGGGACTCTTGAGTGGAAACGTGGTCAAGTGTACACTCTAGAACTACCCTGCCCAATAGGGTAGACACAAACCAAGCATGGCTACTTAAAATTAAGTTTAAAAATTCAGTTCCTTCATTGCACCAACCATATTTCAAATACTGCATAGGCCATACGTGGCCTCCATATAGAATATTTCTATGGCAGAAGGTTCTACTGGCCAGCCCTATCCTGGAACCCTCCTTCATTACACTGGTTTTCCCAAGCTGTAGACCAGAGTCCCTGCATCCCAGTGCTGTGTGCTCAACAGCTTCCTCTAAAGGTATACTGACCGGCAAGCAAGCTCCTTGCACCTGTAAGAAGTGGTCCCACACTGCCTTCCCGCTACCTAGTCTCAACCCCCTCCATACTTCAAGGCCCGACTCAAGTGCCCTTTCTTCCCCTAACTGCTCCCCCATGCATGTATATAATGCACAGATATACTTATATGTGTCCAGAGACCCAAGTTAGTTATATGTTGTCCTGAATTATTCTCTACAGGGCTCTCCTAGAGGATTGTGCAGACTGCTGACTGCTCGAGTGTTCCCAGCAGAGGTGGTAGTATGTGGGGACTGAGACTCAGCCCACCCTCCACTCTCCAAGCCGTATGCCTTGGCATGGGTGTGCCCCTGGAGGAAGGGTCCTTTTGCTAATTTGCATGAGAGTGTTCTATATATACAGGCTGGTGGCAGCTTGATTTACTAACCATCATGAAGGAGTGGGTCTCATCTGCCACACAGGATCGTGTGGGGAGGAAGTGACCCAGGCTTCTGTCCCATCACATCCCACTCAAGGCCAGATTCCATGAACCCCAGGATGCCCCACGAGGTACTCCTGGAACTTACAGTTCTGGTGACTCTTGGTCATGTTCTCTGAGTCCAGTGCGTGGTAGAACTCATAGGCTGAGCGGCCAAGCAGATCTTCAGGGTGGTAACCAATCAGCTCTGTGATTCTGAATTAAAGCAAAAACAGCACATGAGGTGGAAAGTAGCATGTGCACATGGCTCAAGAAGCTAAATCCAGAAGCTAGATAAAATGCACATGTTCAAATGAACATAATCTGAACTTCCTGGTCCCATCATTTATTCCAGCAAAAACTCATCATTCTCAACTTGTGATCTTGAGTCCTTCCAAACCCTCACTGTTCTGCCCTTCCTGTAATCATGTTTGGGAGGAAGTAAAGCAGAGGATGCCCTCTCCCCAACCCTACTGCACACATGACAAGGGACTGGACATCCAGGAGGGCAGGCAATTGGCTTCTTGTCCACATAAGTGTCCAGGGACAGAGCAAGAATGAAACTCAAGCCTCCTGACTCGGAGGGTGATACAATGCAAGTGGAGATCTGCAGGCCCACATGGAGAGCAGCAGGGAGCCACCTCTGGCTCTGTGTTAACACAGAACTTTGGTGGCGTCAGCAGGGAGAGCTGCCATGCTCAACTTCACTCCCGGGATGCCCCCCTTAGGTGCTTGCTTCTGCCTTCTGGGGATGCTTCTCTTGGTCCCCCATCTCTGGAAAAGGCAGGAAGGCAGGAGTTGCTGACAGGAAGAGGCATGAAATCACATTTGCAAAAGTGCCTGGTCTCACTCTCCTTGATAAACAGGCAGCTCTGCAGAGGCAGAGCATGGCTGGCCCACATGCCCCAGGCTTCATTTCAGGTGTCTCATTCTGATGGGAAGTGGACAGGGAAAAGGCAAGTGTAGACAACAATGAAGAATCACTTAACCCCTTTAGGACCTTTGCTCTGAACTCAAATCATGAGCATACACCAAGCCCTGCCCTAAAACCGACAGATTGGCCACTTTCCCATGTCATACCTAAATTATTTGTTTTCACAATCTTTGTTATTTACATATTTCTTATGAGTTAGTTGCCTTGTTATCCTACCTATCACAAGTCAGGAAGGATTCTAGAGGCCTTCGACCTCTGGGTATGGCCTTGGCCTGCATCCACTTGGGGGGCTGAGAACATGGAGAAAAGGGCAATAGCAGAAAGCAGAAGTGGTGATGCCTTGGTTTCCTATCTCTGCTCTCAATCCCCCTCCAAACAGGCTAACTTGAATATCTGTCAGATTGCACACAGAGGCAACCCTCCTACAATTCCCATCCTGCCTCTCCCCTTCCTTAAGCATCTATAGCTCCCCCTATTGCCAACCACTCTATCCAACTTCCAAGTGCCACCCAGGATCCACTCTCTGTCTTCCATGGCATCTGGTTTTCAATTCAGCTGTAGCATGCTGTGTGCTCCTGCCCTCACAGTCCTATTCCACACTCCCCCAGTCCCCTCCCCAGCTCACTTCTGCTGCCGGGTTTTAGTGTCTTCTCCAAGCCTGACTCCTACAAGGCCAGCCAGAGACCTCCCCTTTTCCACAGAGCCCTCACCACTAGTCCCCATGAAGCCCTAAAGGACAGTGCCATCAGGAAGTATGCATTTGTCTCTTCACATCCTTCGCTGTCAGGCCCTGAACTCAAGGGTCATTTTTTCCTTTTGTCTCCCTTAAAATGGCTCCTTAGAAGCACCTGAGTAGCTGACAAGTAGACTGATCTTCTCTTTGGATCTGAGGTACAGCCAGAGCCCTGTCTGTTCCAGCACTGCTGAGGAACTTGGGCACTAAAGATCCACTTCTCTTCCTTGAGCATGGTGAACTGCCTCATTGCCTCTTCTGGTGATGCAGACATAGTGTGCGCACACACACACAGCCTCTGCCATCCTTTGTGGTACTCAACCTGTGCTCTCCATTCTGTAAAGTGTCTGGCATTAAGAAAGCGGAGAAGAGGGAAGTTCTCTGCCTACTCAAGAGACTGGAGGTTAAAGCCTGTGTCAAACAAAGGGAGGCGCACTGGGAATGGGAAGCTTAGGACCCAGCTGATATAGCCCAGGGGAGACTGCTCCAGAGAGTTGCTCAGGCCAACCAGCCAGGCTCAGGGCAAGACTCATCTCCATACTTGCTCCTGAGCAGAGTCTTAGAACTTACAGGCCATGGCCATGTTCCCTGCAGCCTGACCAGCAGTGCCTTGGCTGAGATGGAGACTGAGACAGAACAAAGAGACAAAAGAATGCTGATCTTCCCAAGTAGCTCTTCCTTTGCTTTTTTTTGTTTTGTTTTGTTTCTTCCTTGATGCTAAAGATTGAACCTAGAGCCTCACACATGCTAGGCAAATGCACTGCCATAGAGCTACATTCTCAGGCCTTTTAAAACTTTATTTTGACAGGGTCTTGCTAAGCTGCTCTGGCTGGCCGCAAGCTTGCAGTCCTCCTGCCTCGGCATCCCAAGTAGCTGACATGATAAGAGTGTGCCACTAAAACCAGCTCAGAATAGCTTTTCTTTTGGGTCAGATGCCTTTTAAGTTTAGCCTGGGATCAGAACTGCACCTGGTGGTCTGCTGATACCAGGCTGGCTATATACAGGCTCACGGATTTGCCAGATGAACTGCTGAACCGTTTCTAGCCAGACCTAGAATTTTCTCAAAAAGGAGTCAGTCTATGGGGCATTCTAGGAAAGATAAGATTCTATTTCCTGGAGGAATTAAATTTCAAGATTAGGATCTTTAAATCAAAATTTTCAAAGTAAATATTATAATCAGCCTCACAATACGATGGTTTTTAAATCTAATTAACATATCATCCATTCAAGGGCACACAATGGCTATGTTTTGGAAGTGGACAAACAAACCTAGATTTCAGAATTGCGAGTTATCTTCCCAGCAGGCTCTTTCATTTATCTTGTCAACTAAAATAAATATTTAACGTCTCTTTCTTCATTCCTTAAACAGACTACTATAAAACCTGGGAAATACCCCCTCCCCAAACACCACTGAAGAACATCGGAGTTGTCAGACTTCACAAAGCCAGGAAACCCCGACTTCAGGCTAATGGTCATTCGCCTCCCTCTGTAGGCGCAGAGACGCCAGCGGGGAGGTGAACGAACCCAGCTTGTTTATAGGGGCAGCTATGGCAGCACACACAGGCTGGCCTGCTCACTTCAGGGGCTCCGTGATAACAGATTCATCTGCTCTCTTCATCAGGGTAGGGAACCATTTTTTTTTTCTTCCTAATTAAGGACCCTTGGCTCACTGAAAAAAAAAATCAGTTTGGGGTCATCCACAAATTTAAAAGTTAACTCAGTAGGGCTGTTCTAAGAGGAGAAAGAAGTGTCAAAGGTTTAATGCACTGGATTTTCAAGAAGAGGATAGAGGAGACATAGAAAAAGATCAAAGATGAAGAGAGATGGAGCCCAAGTTAGGCACCCACAAGAAGGCAAAGAGGAAGGAAAAGAGAAAATAAAATACAGAGGAGAAAAGGGTTATGTGGTTCTGAAATCAGCGTCACATCAAGGAAATGCATGGGCCAAGGTGCTGGGCTTTGGACTTCGGAGTGTGACAGCTCATAAAGGTGAAATACATTGTTTACTGTGTCTCAACTGCTCTTTATCCTTAAAAACATCCAGCAGCTCTGTTCAAAATGGATTACCTGGAGCCAAGGGCCAGGAAGGAAATTCTTCTCTCGGTGCCATCACCTCAAGAGGCAGAAGAAATCCTGCTACAGGCCCCAGGTGGCACCATTTCTTCCCAGTCTGTGCCACCACAGCCTGTGCCTAAGCTCCCTGGCTTCCGATGCTACTGCCTGGGGACAAGCAGGGTCTGGGAGCAGTTTTTACCCTGGTTCCCTGCCTGAGCAAAGTATTGCTAAGGAAATTACTCATGTGAACAAGGTGGTAGAAAATGGTTAAACTACTTAAGAGGATAAAAGTTTTAAGCGCTTCACAACCACAAAGAATGCAGTTGCTAATAAATACTTGAAGTCTGCTCATTCCTCCCACCCTCTGGCAACCCCGGGTCTTCTCATCTTGCTTTCTCTGCATGCTCAAAAGCTTGGATGCTGATTTCCTTAACAATACCTAAATCATTCACTAACTCAGATTTCAGTGCCTATTTAACATATCTTTATCCAAATTTTGTCCAATTTAAGCAATAGTCCTTAAGCCTTACCTTTTGCTCAAATATTGCACAGTTATGTGGAATCTGTGCAGCTGGCTCTGTAGTTAATGGAAAGCCAGTTTCCATCCTGTCAGGGTGAAGTGTTATGGGGTACCCATTGGGTGAATTCATACACAGGAAGGAAGCCCCACTCAATCCTACCATGAGTGCCACCAAATGCCACCGCTATCTTCTATTACCTGAACACCCACAAGCAGTAAGAGGAAATCTGTCTTGAGCTATAACAAGTAAACAGATCATGTATTAAGAATGGCTTTTGAATTGTGAGGTCTATTAAACTTTGAAACACACTCCAGAGAGAATTTATAGAATTTCCTCTTCCAGGGAGTACTTTGAACTATCTAGATGAAGCAGGGCAACATATAAGCATTTCTTACACACACAAACTATTAGGGCTGATAACATTCTCAGCTGGGCAGATACAAATGCACACGGAACACATTTAAAGATCCTTCTAACTCAAGGATCTAAAGATATATCAATGTTCTCTGACTTATGATGTCTAGAGAAAGAATAATGAATAGGTCTGCAAAAAATATTTAGAATATACTATTTAAAATTAAAATGTATGTAATATAATAATATACTCTAGGTTAATATATTTAGATCTTTTAAGATCCTCTTGAATTTAGGATGACATCCACCTTTTAAAAAGTTACAAAATAAAAATTTCTTAACTATGTTCAATATGAAATAAAGGCATGTAATCTTTTATTATTAATTTGCTTGAAGTCAGTCAATTTTACTTTCAGGCTTCAAAGCACCTTCCGGCATATTGATACAAGTGTGTTTCACAACTCATGGGTCTTTACAATTTTCTTTGATATTCTCTATGATCCTCAACTCTTCCCTCACTTTACCAGCTTTACTATTCCTAATGTTTTCATAAAATAAGCTCATTGTAAATTCTAAGTCTTAACAACAGAATTTGGAACATAGTCATCTTAACTTACTAAATGGTAATTCTTGGTTTAATGACACTGTGTTGCTGTGATCCACTTATAAATTGAGGTTGCCCTCTAATTCTCTACTCTGTGAAGATTAAATGACCCTCTTTATTGACATTTTTACTGTAATTTTGATACTTGTTTGCCCCTAGTAATACTGATCCTATCCACATAATTTGCTTTCATAATTTATTCCTAAAACACAGAAAGACTCATAGAACTCACAAAATCAGTGATTTAATGCTCCACAGGTGAATTAATGCTCCAGTCTCAGGATGGCTGAGCTTCCTTCACAGTTACACTCTCTCACCACTAGATGGCACCTCCACAAGAATTTAACTGCTCCACTTTTAATTTTAAATTTTTATTTCTTTTTTTGGGCGGGCGGGGTGGGAGAACAGGGCCTTGCTATATATTTTAGGTTGGCCTTGAACTCATTATGTAGCCCAGGCTGGCCCCGAATTTATGGTGATCCTCCTGCCTTAGCTTCCTGAATGCTGGGATTATAGGTGTGTGCCACCATGCCTGGCAAGAACCGTCTCATTTTTTAAAAAGTTAAACTACTGGTGAAAACGTTTTGTCTCCCTTTTGGGTGAATGGAATGAGCTATTCTGCAGCATTCCTTGTGGTTTCATTAAGTTGCTTATGTCTTAAACTCTACACTCTTGGAGATCAGGAATCATCTCTTTCACTCTAATATGAGAGCCTCTCACACAGGGTTAGATATATAGCAGATGTTCAATAGGAATTCATGAATGGGTTACTCAGTGTTTTAGGAAACAGTATAACACTTATGTTTGAGTTGTAAGTGACATCATCAGTCACACTGATAACCATGACAGTCTTTTCTTTAGTCCAGCTATGCCTACAGTAGACAGGATGGGCATCCTTAATCCAAAATTCAACGTGTGCCAACATGACGTTCAAAAATTTCCAGATTTCAGAGTATTTTAGATCGTTGGTTTTCAGGTTAGGGGTACTCAACCAGTAAAGTCTGTGCAAATATATCCAAATCCAAAAAACAAAACAACCTCTGAAATTGGAGATACTTTTAGTTCCAAGCATTTCTGATAAGATACTCAACCTGTATACCTAAATGTGACATGATTCAGACCTTTTAAGTTTTATTATGGCTCAAATTATTAAAATTATTAAATATTGGATTTCATTTGATCCTCTGGCCCCTTATGAGGGAGGACAAGTGCATTCTGAGCCATCTGCACGCCTTTATTCAATTTCGGATGATTCCGAATGGGCTCTCTCAGCTTCAACTGATGGGGGAACCTGAGAGTTCGACACAAGGTTAGAGTCCTCTTTTCTCTCTTCTTTCTGCCCCGCCCCCCTTCTCTCTTTTCATGGTGCTGGGGGCTCAAACCCAGGGTTTTGCATGCTAGGTAAATGCTCATGACTGAGCTCCAGCCCCTTCCCTGATTTTTCTTTTTCATATCTGTGGTCTCAATATAACTAAGTATCAAAGTGCCATCAAAGTGATTTTCTTCAGATTCTTCCTAGCTTTTTAAATTGGGAAAACATCTCCCTTTGTGGGAAACCATAGCCCCCTCCTGTGTCAGATGTCATTAAATCCAGTGACTTCCCTGATTAAAGTGGACCCTTGTCCCCCTGCACACCCTCCATGAGCTGTCATTTGTAGATAGTGGCTTTTGAAGCATTTTTCTTAGGAGAGTACTAAAGACAGCATGTTTGTGTGTGTCCTTCCGCCCCAATACAAAGAGTGAAAAAACAAGCCCTCATCAAAGTAACTGAGAAATAACACTTATGGATTAAGGACTTAAAATAGTTACTTCGTAAACAGTCTAAGCCATGTCTGTGCCCTTGTTAAATAATCTGCTAATCGGTTGAACAAAGCTTCTGTATTGTACAGCATTCTCTGTGTTTACATCCTCTGCATTCATTGCCCCAGCATCATCAAATTCAGAGTTGGGCCATGTCGTTTGGTTTCTTAAAAGGCAAGATTTTGCTGAAAGTACAGTGTGTCCTGCAGAACTCAGAGGCAGTGTCTCCTCCCACACTGTGAGTCACAAAGCCTCAGTCACAGGTTCTATTAAACCCAGATCTACTCTGCCTGCTGGTCCTGACACACACTAAGATGCTGACGCAGTGCCCCTCCCCGTTCTGTGTACATTTCCCCTCTAACTACTCTTAGGCACCCAATTTTTTGGTTTTTATTCCCTCTCTCCTTCTATGCAATGGTGACTATTTTCAGAAAATTACCTGAAACTCATTCAAATCAAGATAATGAATAATGGATCAACACTAAATTACTTTCCAGGGTATTTTTTTTCACTTTAACAAGAATCAAAGTCTAAAGCATTCATTTAAAAACAAAATCCTCTTCTTGCTATTATCTAGGGATGGCAAGTTCTTCTCTGGGGTAGCAGGATCTTCCCTGTGCCCTCAGCTGCTCCCAGGTGACAACTGAGGCACCCTGTGCACCACTTCACCTCGAAGCCAGAGCCATGTGGGCCTTGCAATGGGATTTCCCAAGTCATCTCAGACGACCATAGAGAGGGGTACACAACACAGAGCTGTCTTCTGCCCAGAAAGCTCACGTGAATACAGGGACTGCATATGATAAGTGACTTTGCCCTGAACACGGACTGCCCTGTTGCCTTCCTGTGGAACAATCTTTCTCCAACCATCTCCATCATCACCACAGCAACCCGAGAAGCAACACTAACAACTACACAACTACCACAAAGGCCCACTGTGTCGAAGTTCCGGGACCAAATCCTCCAGGCAGGACTTTCCCTCCCTATGAGGTTGGAGGACCTTTTTCCTCTTAATTTTACTACTCACCAATCTCAAAGGTTCAAATCCTGGCCCCACTGTGTCAGAACTTTAGGACAGGGATATCCCAAGGATGCTTTTATGCAACTTCTGAAATTGTGCCACAAATAGTGGCTGATTCCAAGGAGGGGCCAACAACCAACTCTGGCTCAGTTTAGAATCAAAGGAGAGAGACAGAGCCTAACTCGGAAAGAGGGGTCACACCTGTGAGGAAACCAGATGCTTTGGGGCATCCAGTGATGACAGGAGGCCGGGGCGGAGAGAGATGGCCTGGGCAGGCCGGACAGGGCCTCCCTTCCTGGGGCTGGTGGTTTCCCACTGGTGGGGAATACAAAGCAGTTTCTTGCTGGTGGTCTGTTCTTCCTGTGCTGGGCACAGGCCTCAAGAATTGAGTTCATCTCCCTGAGCTTAGTGAGGAGAATTTGCTCTGGGGAGGCCAAGGTCTGACGCTGAGCAGCAGCAGGAAGCCTCATGTGTACACTTCTCCAAGTGCTTTCCCAGCCATGACCCCAGCTTACAGTGACCCCGAGGAACAGGCTGAAAAAGCATCATCTCCATTTTAGAGAGGAGTGGCACAGAGTTTGGGGTGGAAAAAGGTAACTCTGGATACTACGGAAAGCAGGGGAGATGCCCCCTGAAGGGCACATGTGCGGAGCCCCAGACAACAAGGTGCAGCGCAGTCACACCTACTCTCCCTGCCGCTGCCTCCCACCTCCTGACCATCAGGCCCCACAGCCCCAGAGCAGAGAAGCCAGGGTTAGGAGCTGTGGTGTGGCCTCATCCTCACTCACACTAACCCCAGCCTCGCCATCACGTCATCACCTTCAATTTCAGCTAGAAACTGGAGTAGACACAGCTTCCCTGGGCAGTCTTACGTGCCCTCTCGGCAACTTATCCAAGGGGAGAACAAGAGCTAAAACGGAACATGTAGCATCCAGCCCCAGGCTCCATGGTCTTAGCCACTACCATGTTTCTAAAATAATGTCTACTGGGGCTTGAGTTTGGCTTAGCTCTGTTCATCTGCAAGCCTTCAAAAGTAGGGTAGGTAATGGCCAGAATGTTCCCAGCTACAAGCAGGAGTGGAGAAGGCTGGAAGAGAAGCTCAGGCAGTCATGGATGAAGACAAAGGGAAGCCAGCCAGCCATGGGTCCATTTCTAGACCAGAATCCAGTGATCCCAGCTGGCCTCAGTCCTGATGACATCTCAGACCCTGGTCTTCTAGGGCAGGGGACTGCCCTGGAAACATCCTGAGGGGCTTGATGCATATGTGGAGAGCTAGGTCACCTCCACAATGACAGTTGTAGAGCAGAGCAGCTTTGCAGAGACCACCTGGGAGACCACCAGACATAGTACTGGGAACTTCTGAGGCCCACGGATGGAGGGAAACGGGACATGGGCAGACATACTTGCACCCAGCAATACATTGTTTATGTACCTATTCCTTCTCTTAATTGCCGGACTACACACTGGTGCCAGTAAAATCCCCAGCCACTACCCACCCATAGTGCATACCCTGCATCCACCTGGCTCCCACCTGTCATCACAGTAGGTGAACTTCATGTCCATGCTGTGGCGGCTCAGGAAGGTCTTGCTGTCGAGGGGGATGTCCATGTGGGACGGGTGCTGGATCGGCTCACACATGATGATGAGGCAGGAGAGCAGAGGCTCCTTATAGCCGCAGAGACTGCTGTGGGGAGGGCAGCTGTTGTAGACTTTCACCTGGCCGGTGCAGTGCAAGACCTGGAGCAGAGGTCAGCAGCAGAGGTCAGCAGAGGTCAGACGTAGGGCGGGGTGTGGGGGCATGGGCGGGGCTTTAGCCACATCCCACACCCGCGGCCCACACCTGGGATTCCAACCAGGCCTGGCTGTGTCCTACCTTCCAGGTGGCTGATTTAAGGTTGACAGTCCGACCTCTGTTGGTGACCGTACACTTCATCCTCATGAAGAAGTCACGTTCTGTGGACATTTCTTTGACTTTCTTTCCAAAACCAGAGCCTGGGGTGGGGTGGGGGAACAGGACCAGCTGAATTAATTTTATATGTACAGTCACAAGAGAGCCCCAGCTGCAGTTTCTCAGGATTGCTTATTTTTTCATTTCCTGATTGTCTGTATACGAGGCACCGGAAGCCTGGTGTGAGCACAGCGCCATCCCGCCCTTTGGCTAATGATGGCTTTTCACCTCTGGCCTGGCTCATAGCTGGAGCATGGCCCCTGATCCAGCATCGCAGAACAATCTGCAGCCTTGCTTCCAACAACCACACTCCTCCTCCAGGCAGAGCCATGAGCCCCTGCACCTAACCCCCCAGAGGACCTTGATTTCTCTGGCACCCGCCTGAAGAGTTATGTGACAAAGTGATGGTGGTACCCTTGAACCAAACTGAAATGCCTTTCAGGGAGCTCCCGTATGTGACAGTCTAAAGGGTGAAGTTTTTCATTGTTGTTGAGAGAATATTCCCCCCAATGATAAAAAATATCTCTCCCATACTTATTTTAGCTTTTTGGAATTTTAATTTTTCATATGTGCATTCTGGATATAATGAAATATACCTGCTTTTTGGGACCAGGACCCAAGTGGAGTTAGGGCTGAGGAGTTTAAAGGGACTCATTTATGGCTGTTCTCTTGGATTATTATTGTGGATTCCTAACTTGTTTACATCTAGATTCTCCTCATTCTGATATCTGATTCTGTTTTTTAAACAGAAGAATACACAAGAATATCACCCTACCCCTACTCAAAAACCTTAAATAGCTCCCCACTGTCTGCAGGATAAATTCCAGGCCTCTACCTGGCCTTCAAAGCCTTCCACAATCTACCTTATGGCCTTATTTTCCTCTAAGAGCTCACACTAACTCTTTGCTTCTGGATCATGAATCCACCCATAGGCTTGCACTTTCAGTGAGGATTTGATGACTCAATGAATTTGACTGATCCCAAATCCCCAATTATGTACTAAGAGATCTAAAGTTCTACTCTGATAAGGAGAGGTCACTCTGCTGTGAGTCATGGCACTTGAGAGCTGAACTTTGCCTAGTCCATTAGCAGCAGTTTGAAAAGAAAGACTCTTAGGAAGTCAGGAATGAGGTGCTTGATTCAGATCACAGAGTCAGACTGAGAGTTTAGTTAGTGGTTAAACTGAATACAAGAAATCAGGGGTCTGGAAACTGAGTACAAGAAATCAGAGGCCCAGGTTTCTGGAAAGGAGAAATAAGAGATATCTGCTTTAGGGAGTGCTTCAGAAGTCTGCTAGCTCCTTTTCTTTGAACCAACCATGCTACACAGTAGACTTCCAAGACCTTAAAGATCCACGGAGCGCTCCCTTGCTTGTGTACTCCAGGAGTCAAGTGGCTGAGGCCTTCTGAGCAGAGGGCCTGGGGACAGTGCAGGTGTGGTGGTGGGAGGGGGAGAGCTGTCATTCTGCAAAGCTTTGCAGGCCCAAATGAGGACTGCAGGCAGTCTGTGGCTAATGTGTGCATGGGGGGGGGGGGGACAACGAAGTGTCTGCCTTTGCAGCATGTTTGGTAACAAGAGTAAACCCTGCCTTGGAACCACTGCTCTGTTTTTCAGGTTGGATAAGAACATGCATCACGGCAAAGACAGGTGAGAGATGCTGAAGAGGATTCCAGATGATGTGGGCAGAGTCTGCCCAGGCCAGTGACAGGTTCTCGGGTTCAGGAAGGGTCTTGGTGGTCACTAAGCCCCACTGCTGCCAAAAGCTTCAGTCATCTTGACAATATCCTCATTTATGCCTTTGCTTGGATGTCCCTAGTTATAAACATGAAGCCCCACTGTCACTGCAAAGTGCCTTCGGCCTGTGCACAGCCTCACATCCACCAGCATCTTCATCGAAACCTCCCTGTCCTGTGTCTCATCACCAGAATCCTAGATTTATGCCAAGGCTCCTGAGGTAGCTCCAATGATGGCCTCAGGAATCCATACCTCCTGACACTCATGGCCTCATGTAGGGGCCAGCCTGTTCCTTGCCCTAACCCGCACAACAGGGACTCAGCCCTCCTGGCAGCTTCCACATTTGCATTTCTGGGGGCCCTCAGCTGCCATCCAAGCTGGCTACCATGGAGACTCCCAGTGGGAAGGGAGAGGCTCTGAGACACCATGGAGTAAGAGAGAGGTCCAGCCACCCCACTCCCAGACACCTGCCACCAGACCCTGACCTGTGTGACAGAGCCATCTTGGCTATCCCAGTCTTGTTCCGCTCCTGATGACTGCTGCAGCCATCGCAAGGCTTCAACACAACCCAAGAGAGAGCACAAGGGTTGCTTAATCCCTGTGTTTTGCGTAGTTTGTTACATGGCAATGGAAACTGCAATACTCTGTGAGCACTTGGGCCCAGATTACTGGACTGGGTGGCATCACTGGCAGAGATGCTTGACTGTCAGGTGGTGATCCTCCTAGAGACAGTGTCCTACCTTGAGGGAGTATCCCCGTAGGGAGCTCACACCTCATGTGGGGGCCAGCAGGAGAGCTTTCCAAGCACTGGGTCCCTCCAGGCCCACAACCTCATCTCACAGGGTCCATGCCCATACAGCGGGCCAGCCTGGCTGCTGTCCTCTGTGGGTAGCAGCTCTTCCTGGCTTCACCATGGCCATGAACCACCTCTCCTATGCTTATAGACAAAGGGAAGGCAGATCCCCTCCCACACGGGACAAGAAGGAAGTAAACACATGAGAACACTTTACCATTTTTGAGAGTCAGGTTCTCACGAATCTCTTCGTGGTCACAGGGATGAGTGAAGTCAAAGATACTGTGTCCTGTTAGCTCTACCTGTTTCAAAAACAAGGTTTGGCATCATTATTCCTAACACCGAGGTAAGGAACCTGAGACACCTTCCAGGCTTGGAGACAAGGAGTTTGCATCAGCTTGTCCTTCCCACAGTCCCAAGATAGTGCCAAGACCCCAGACATGCGATTATAACTAGAACTCCTGATGTGGCAGGTACTTGATTTCTGAGGGGTGTTCTGTTAACCCAGTCAGCAGAGAGCTACCTAGCAGATAGCCATCGGCAATGGCAAGCTCAGTGCCAGGGAGCAGGTGCGTGTTCCTGAGGCTTATGGCCTGAGGACAATGAGGCTCAGAGTGGGAGCATGTAGGCAGCAAGAGGGATTGTGACCAGCACCTTCCACTAAGTTCTACCCACAGTGGAAACTTTCTCCCTTTCTGAGAGAGGTAGAGAAGAGTGTCACCTGGGTGAGTCCCATGAACTTGCTGATGTTTTCTGACAGAAAGATCATGTCACCATCTTGGGTCACCACAGCAATGAAACCTTCCAAGGCTTTCAGGTACAAATTATCCATCTGCTGGTCAGCCTCCACTTCAGATTCGTTCTCAGAGCAAACTGGAAAGAGAAGGGGGTTGGAGAGCTTGTGTGAATTTGGTGTGAAAACAGACATGACTGGCAGGAGATAGGTCAGCCAGGGCCTGTGGTGATGTACACTGACAGCCACCTCAGTGTCTGCCATACACCTATGCGGCAGGCACCACTACCCAGCACATCCTGATGGGCTTAAGGAGGTGTGGCTGTTGTGAAAACAGCACCTGGGGTACTAGTAGCAATGGAGGTGAATGGAAGCCATAGGCAGAACAGTAGTTGCTGTAGCAGCAGGAACAGAAGTGTTAGCTGCTAATGTATGTGGAGCAACTGCTTCCTGCCAGGTACTGCACTAAGCATTCCGTAGTCTTCACAATGATGAGGCTTGGAAAGGTTAAGCCATTCACCAAGGCTAGACATGCGGGAAAGCCAGCAAGACCCAGAAGCTCAATCCAGAAGCCACATCCAGGCATTTGTAGGCATTGGATTCAAACACAAGTTTCTATTTCTGAATCAGCCTCCCATTAGACTATGACTTTTGTTAAGTAACAACCTCGCTGAGTATCAGTTTCCTCATTAGTGAAATGGGGATAATAATTTCCATCTCCTTGAACTGTAGGGGTGAAACAAGTATGTAAAATGCTTAAATCAAGATCAACAAATGTAAATTTGTTCTCTCATCTCTTCCCTCTAAAACACTGTCACTACCTTCAAACTGCCCAAAGTGTAGATGGGGATGATGTCACACACAGAGACGCAACGCTCCATAGAGATTCAAGGACACCATAGCTGGGTGTCCAGGAGGGGCTGTAGACAGTAAGTGCTCCAAGGGGTAGAGGAGTTGCTTTGGGGTGAGACAACTATTCCAAAGAGCCAACTTCCAAAGAAGGGAGTTTGAGGAGGCTCATAAAAAAGAAGTGATTTTGGGCCGGGGATTTAGCTCAGTGGTGCCACCCCCTGCCTCACAAGTGCAAGGTCCTGAGTTCAATCCTCGGTACCAAAAAAAAAAAAAGTGATTTCACTCTATAGATGACAAAAGGGGGCTTTGCAGGTTGGACACTGGGAAACGTGGCACGAGTTCTCTTCCAGGACTGAGGAGCTAGGTCTGTGTCCCAGTCTCAGAGACTGAGTTGACAAGGTAGGTCCAGGGCCTGCAGAAGCCTCATCTCAAAGGAGCACCGTAGTTGGCATCTCAAAGCACTGCACTGGGGAGCGTAACTTGGCAATAGCCTGCAGAATGTCTGGGACAGAGTGACGCTTAGAAGAATAAAATAGTAAGCAGGCAACCACATGACTGGTAGGCTACAGAGGAGGTTGCCAGGGGCAGCTGCTACCACATCTGCCCCTAACCATTCACTCAGGAGTACCTGACCCATCAAGCACAGCTCTACCGTCTGTGAAACTGACTCAGTTCTTCCCCAGAAATAACACCCTCTCAGGCCCCAGCCCTGTGTCACCCTTAGACCACAGACTGTATTTCAGCCACCTTTCTCCTGCTTCCTTACTCCGAACTATACATACCTAGGAGAATTTGCATTCATCAGATACAAGCATCAAACACCGTTCATTTGATTTACAGAACAAGAGGATTCGAGAGTAATTTGTCACTTATAATTGTTAATATTAACTAAAAGAAGTCTTTCAAATGGAGGCTCTTCTAGGGACTATAAGATGTGATTAGAATGATAGGCCATTTGGCGAGTGACCATCAATGCTGTGCCGTGCTGACCAAGAGTCTTTCTGCAAGGGAACTGAATTTATTTAATTCTCTCTCTCTGTGAGCCTTTGAATGTAAGCTCAAGGACAGATCCAGATGAGGCAATGGTCTTCTAAAAGGCTTCAATGATACCTCTAGGGACCAGTCTCTTTTAGGACACAGGGCCTGAGAACATACCAGAGTCCTGGATGCTGCCATTTCTGTAGAGGAACAGAGTTGGCCTTCAAAGCCAAGAGTTGTGTAGGACAGAGCAGTGGCCTTCCCTCTGTTTACCAAAATGGTGGGACCCAGTGAAGGAAATTCCTTCTCTTCACACGCTTGCAGCTAGTCCACAAAGGGGAGTGGGGAGGACCACGTAAGAGTAGTTTTACAGGACACACACATGCCCACCCTGATCCCTCCCCAGGTCTCTGCTGATGTAGGATCTGCTCTTTACCCACTAACCAGCTGGTGGAACAGATGAGGATGAGGCTGCTAACACTAGCCTTCCCAAGTACCATCCACGTTTAAGCAGTGGCTTTAGGAAAGATGGCAACATAAATGTGCATCAGGGTCACCTAGAGAGCTGGCTGAAGCAAAGATTTCTGGGCCCTGGGTTGTTACATAATTTTCAGGATCCAGTGTAAAAATAAGAGTCCTCTTGTTGGAAAATTAAGCCAAACCCAAGTCCCTTCCAAGTATGCTGCCTTCCAAGATGGCACAAGTTGTGCCCCATGAGGCTAGCCGTGGAGGGGACCCACCTGTGGGGATCCTGATTCAGTGCATTTCAGGCAGGGTTTGGAATGTGCTTGACTGCTAAGTTCCCAGGCTACACTGATGCTGTTGCTCCTAGAACAATGCACTGAGGACCACAGCCTCAACTCCAAGTGCTACAAGGAACTCCCGTGGGGGAAAATCAGCCACTTTGGAAGGGGGTGGCTGATCTGGGGAATGGCTGAGGAGAGATTTTTCAGCACATTTTGAGTCACACCAGAGAGACAGCTGGCCACTTTCTCCAGACAAGCAGAGGCCACCCCTGGGGTTTCTGGCCAATGGAGAAGATATTTTCTCTTCAATTTCTTTGATCTCAGTGGTTATACTGACTTCAAAATCTGGAGTAATCCCAAGACAACCTATTTGGGATAACTCGGTCCACAGGAAATAGTTCTGCTTAAAATTTCCTGTTTTTAATAGTTCCAATGATGCCAACTGGTTTCCAGGGTGAGGTGAAACTGGCTGCAGCAGTGGGTCAGTGGCCCTGGGAGGTAAGGAGGGACCAGAGTGCTCTGGGGCCACGAAGGGCAACAGAACATCTTGGAACTGAGGTCACAATGGCTGGAAGGCCAGGAGCCAGCAGGTGGCCCCCAGGGACCTGGGATGGGGTGGGGTGGGGGAGCAGGCTGGGTGGGGCCTCTTCCTCCTGTGGAACTATTTGCTCTCACAGCACCTGCTATCCTCCCGGGAGCTTCAGAAGGAGCCTGGCCTGGCCACTCACAGCCTAGAGCTGGCAAGCAGGCCCTCCCGGGAGCCAGGAAGCTCAGGTCACATCTTCGATGAGGACACGCTGTCTTTTCCCTGTGAATACCAGGTCTTTCCTTGATGTATCCTGCACATCCTTCTCTCAGTGCTGGGCAGGAGGAGAGAAGCACTCATTTGCTCCATGCGCAGCTATTAAGCTTCTGCCGCGTATCTGCTTGGTGCCAGGCACAGAATAATAGTGACCCATAAGGTGCCAATTGGGTCTTTCAGTCATCTTGGGTCCCAGTCTCAGTTCTTGCCTCCTGGGACCCTGCAGGGTTTGACCCCAAAGAAGAGGGACAGTAGTCTAAGCCAGGGTCTCTCTGCTGAGAGGGAGCATGCTCAACCCAGGGGGCACAAGAAGATTCTTTACGGCTAAAAATAGTCCAGTAAACAGGCCTTGATGACTCCCCGCAGCCAGGGTATGTGCGGCGGCGGTTTCAGAGCACTGGTTCTGGAGCACCACTCATTTCCTCTGGGCAGCACGATCAGGGTCCGGTGGGGTACTCTGGGCAGTGAGAGAGGCCATGGGGCTGAGCAAGTAGGTGGTGTAGCAGACACCTCCTGACCAGGTCCCCGGGACCAGGCTGTCCTTGTGGAGCTATTGGGCAGGATGCTGCCCCGACTCTTCTCCACCAGGGTCACATTCCCTGTGAGAAGTTCCAAGACCACTCCATTTCTTAAATCCAGTCTGATTTGGCTTTCCCACTCAGCCACACGTGTGCTCACTTGGGGCAGTTACCATGGCAGCCTCTTTCCTTCAAAGGCTTTGCCTAAAGGGGCTCCTCCCTCCAACCCTCCCAGCTCCTTCACCTACCACTGACTCCAATCCCAGCCTGAGTATGCTGGTCGAGCCAAGAGGAAATAAGTTTGGAACCGCTTACATGATTATTATCCCCACCTTAACCCCCCCATCGTGGACAGGCTTGGGCTATAGTCACGTCTGTGGCAGAAGGCTGGTGTCTTGCCTACCTCTCAGGCTCCCAGGATCTCTGCAAGTCCACCGCTGGAGATCCACGTCTTTTTCTTTACCTATCTGCTTTTCCTATCTTACCTCTATTATATTTCATAGGATGTGGCACTGGGCTGTCTTCAGCACATAGTAGTTGACTGAACAGACTTTTTTTAAGTTTAAGGAATGGTCTGAACAAGGTTAGTATTTCTGGAAGAGACTGGACACGAGCTGCTCCCAGCCATTAACACCATCACATGAATCAGCTCACTGGCTTCCCTCCACACAGTACAGAAAAAGGTCTTGATTTGGACTGTAGGTGGGGCAAGGGGGTGGGAGAGTAAAAAGCAAGGGTGAAGGCCAGGGAAAACAAGTCTGAAAGTAAGGCATAAGAGGGCACCAGAAACCATATCTGCCTCTACAAGTTTGTTCTCTCCATCCTACCTTTCCTTCATGGAAAGGTTACAGTAAAAACTTTTAAATCATTTGTCCCACATTTTAATGTCTTTCCCTTCGTAGTCCAGAATCAGGAAATCATAATCTCCTGCAAAGACTACGTCTTTACTAGGCAAATGCCATGAATCAAAAATAAACCTGACATTTCCCTGTAAACACCTGCTTCATGTGGACCTCCAGCTCTACGTAAAATGAATCTGATTTCATCAGGCATGAGGCTGGGGAAACCCCGAATCAATTTTAGAGTGAAAGCATATTTTGTGTATTTACTGCTATTTAAGGTCATCAGGGTGCAGGGGTGACCCTTCCTCTGGCCACAGCTCGTAGGGCTCATCTTGAAAGAGGATTTAAGACAATCAAGTGGTATTTCCATTGACTTTCCCGTCAGAGCGTGTTCTGTCCTCGGCCCAGCATGGAAGCAAATATCATAAAGCTATTGTTTCAGTTTACTTCCTGTGATATGAATCTCAATCAGAGGCCCCGACCCACAGCCTGAGTTTCTCAACGTTAAGGTTTCCTCTCCAAATTCCCACACACAACAGCCTACTGTGAAAATCAAAGGGAAACGTGTTACTAAGTAAAGAAGAAACTTTTCTAAAGCCAAAGCTGGTATTTTTTAGCCTTTTGAACTGTGAGCTATGCAACCAGCTATTTCCTAGTACAAAGGGAGACAACACTGTTCCTTGCTCACCTCGGTCAGAAAGGCTTAAATAATGAATTTGTGGTTTGACTTGGAAAAGCACAGCAACCTTGCATTTTGATAGGAATTGATGAAATGTATGCATTAGGATGGTTAAGATGTACCCTGATTTTCTTTTATATCCTTTCTCCGGAAGCCTTTTATTTTTACTATCAACGTTCATAATCATTTTTATTTCTAATCTATAACTTATTAGGCAGGCTAGAGGACAAGGGCTTTTATGTCAGCTTAGTTCTCTAGCAATAGTTCTTAGTTCTCTAGTTGTGAGGATGTCCCACTAGTCTGTGCAGATGAAGAAACTAAGGATCAAAGAGAGAAAGAAATGTTTAGAAATTTGAGGAGAGAGAGAAGGCTTCCACACAGAGATTCAAACACAGGGCTACTTGCCCACCACTCCTGTACTCCTTTTCTTTATGCCCCATCTAATTAAAAAAGCAAAGTAGGATTTAAAAAGAAAAAGAGCTTGTCCTGCAACTTCTGAAAACAGTTTTGACAAATGGTCCAGGAAAAAAAAAAGTGGGAGTTGAGAAACCATCTCCTTCTCCCCTGGCTGTGCTCATTTTATGAGAACTTTTCCTTCAAGGACACCAGGACCAGATGGCCCAAAGTAGAAACTTTTTATCCTTTTCTGTTATTTCTCTCCTTGGGACACCGAGGCCCAGAGCTGACAGGCAGAGGGCTCTGGTGGGCTGTGGGTGAGCCAGGCCAGAGGGCAGGCTGTGGTTTGCATAATGTACCACAGCTCCAGAGCTGACATGTGACGCCCCGCTGAAGGGACTCTGGTCCTGTCTGGGGTGCATCTAGTACACATGGAGGTGGTCACACTGGCAGATGTGCTCAGGGGGCTCAGACTCTGGTGTGTGGCCCCCTTAAGCCAACCTCTGAAGAAGGACAACAGGCTTACCTATGGGTGAGCATGGGCCACCAAGCCCTGCACCAGAAGGAAGGACAGGAGCAGCTGAGTGGGTGAGGATCTGCTGATCACCTGCTGCCCAGGCCAGTGGCGGTCAGCCCCACTCTGACTGTGGTTCCCTCCCTCTTGTCAAACTTCTCTCCCTGACCGGGTTTACAGAGTCCTCATTCCGTATCATAGCTATCTCTCTCATGCCCAAGATTCCAGGTGTAAATTTACCATGTGCTAAATATGTGACTTTAAGCAACCTTAACATTTCTGGGCCTCACTTCTGTGAAACAAGAAGAAATGTGACGTCCAAATGCAGTCCGAGAGGTGTCATATGATTAATATATTAGCCCTTCTGGTTTCTGCTGGTGGATGAATGGGGGTGGTGGTGAAGGAAGCAATGATTAAGCCAAAGGAATTAGTGTCTAGGAGAAGAATTTCAATTACCATAGCAAGGAAGTAAGGGTGTGGGGAAGGGCTCACTATCTGGTTATTAAGCGTCCCACTGCCACTCCATGTATACACAAAGATGACTCCAATGATATCAAACATGGCCCTCAGCTTTTTAGGAAGACAACCTCTATAAAAGAAAGAAGTGGTCAGGGATTATGCACATACCTATAATCCCTGCTACTCAGGAGACTGAGGCAGAAGGATTACGTTTGAGCCCAGCCTAGGCAATTCAGCAAGACCCTGTCTCAAAATAAAATTGTAACAAGGGCTGGGGATGTAGCTCAGAGGTAGAGTGTTGCCTAGCATGCATGAAGTACCAAGTTCAATCCCCACCAAGTCCCACCCCCACCCCCCCAAAAAAAGGAAAAAGGAACAGGCATATGGGTTCCCTCTGCTCTGTGATGGAATCGCCATCCAAAATCCCTGCTTTACCCACTGCACCCTCTTTCTGTAGTACCTGTGACTGCCTTGCTCAGTTAGCAGAGCACACATCTGCCCTTGTTTCTCCTCCCAAGATGCCCGCTAAAGCTCACAGCCTGTAGCACAGGCTCAGCCCCGGGTCCTGGGCCCCTGCGCGGCCATCCTCTTCTCTGAAGGTCTTTCCCCCGTATCCTTCCTGTGCTCCGGCCCAGAATAGCACAAGCTGGCCTGGCTTCCCTGTCTCACTGGATTCCCTCTGAGCAGGGCTTCTTTCCCAGAATAACCACGTCATAACAGGATGGCAGAACCCGCCCGGTCTCCAAGGTGCCGCTCTCCGGAAAACTGAAAACCAGCCACGAAAGCCCCTTCACTCTCTGATTGCCTCCCCCATGCTCACCCTGTCAGGCATTGTCACATGCTACCAGCTTTCCTTATAAAACTGACCAACTAGACGAGATTGTCACATAGGACCTGAAACTAGGCACCCTCTCGGGCCACCTCCTCCCGGTCAAGACTAACAGGAAATGGTTTTTGAAGAAAGTAACTTTCTGAGACGAAAGAAAATTTTGTGACCTGCAAACTGCAGAGATGCTAGGGAGGGTGACACTGAAGCTGTCCACTGCCAAGGACTGCCCAGTGTGACTGAGTGCAGCCAGACCACTCACTCCCTCAATTCCCACAGGCACCCTGTGCAAGAGACATGCCGAATCCCATTTAATAAGAGAAGAAACAGGCTTAGGCAGACCCAATGGTGTGCCCGGCCTAACTGGCTAGAAAGAGGGAAAAGATGGAAAGAGCACACCATCTCTGCTGATTGGATGACAGGGACTAGAACACTTCCTGCAGGCTCAACTCTTGCAGGAGTGGGATCTCATGGCCAGATCCCACTTGGTCAGCAAAAGCTGTGCTGGCTCTCCAAGCTCCTGTCCTCCCCGCATCCGGGTGCCCATGCTCTTGCTGGTCCTTCCCTGGCTGTCCTCATGGTAAAGGTCTGTACAGCAGAGAGGAAGGAAGAAAGCATGGACAGTGGCCTTATCATGGGTGGGCGTTTGCAGAGTGAAGTGTTGGGAGGGGGCGGTCAAGGCTTGCATCTCTAGCACCCTGGGGGCCCCTGGATATGTGGCGATGTTGATAAGGCTGCCATCCACGCCAGCCTGGGCACCTGGCAGTCTCACCTGAGGACAGGAGCTTGTGTGTCCGCAGGAAGCTGATGGCCAGCCGCATGATGGAGGCCTTGTCCAGGTGCGAGCTCACGCTGTGTGGCAGGGGCAGCTCATGAGCCAGTTCATAGAAGACCTCTGTCTCCTTGCTGCGCCGGCACCTTGCTGCATCTCGGGACTTCTCCTTCCTCCTCTCGGAGCTGCTCCTAAATTAAGAGACAGAGTTAGTCTCTACGAGGTCGCTGTCATCCTGTTACAGTATGCCCTTGATCAACACATGGCTGTGGCTCCCTCAAACCACATGCAGCCAAACTCTCCCCCTGAACGGATCTGGGCTCACATCAGCTGTCAAAGTTGTGTAGAATCTGCTTTAAGTTGCTGGCTTGGCTTTCAGGGTGGTGGTGTCTTCTCAACCACCTTCCCACTCTAGCATTCACATGATGCCCAAAACAGGGCTTTGTATGGCTGGGGCTCAACAAAGACTTGCTGACTAAATTAAGTGGTGATGCCTGGGACCTGGTCCTGGGTAGCTGGGGAAGTGGGTCAGTGTCCAGAGATGGAAAAGGAAGGGTGAGGGAGGTATGGTCAGTGGCCTAGGTGGCTCTGGCAAAAGCTCTGGAGAGTAAGATGAAAAACTGCTTCAGGGTTCTCTTTTTCTGGATAAGATGCACTCAGAAAACCTTAAGCCCAGGGCTGGGGATTTAGCTCAGTGGTTCCACTGCCTGCCTCGAAAGCACAAGGTCCCAAGTTTGATCCCCGGTACCCACCCCCCCTCCAAAAAAAGAAAACGTTAAGCCCAGTCCTGCACCTTGGATCCCATTTCATATCAGAGTGCCCTGAAAATATCATTATAGCCCAAGAAGAACATGCTTCTCTCTGGATCCCAAAGTACATGCCCTTCCAAGAGTTAAAAAGGAATGGGTACAAACATATTTTCTCTCCGAGTCCTGCCAGCTCAGGTTACAGCCTGTCTCATGCTCGTCTTCCTCTTTGCTTCAGGATGGAAGGAAAGTTGCAACCCAACAAAACCCACCTCTTCTCAGAAGTCCTCAGGAAATCCCGGGTCTTTTTCTAAAGCCTATGTCAAATTCCAACATGGGTAAGTTTAAAAGCCAGGAGGTCAGAGTTAGAATTCTAATTTCTCCACTTGTTAGCTCTAAACTATTTAACCTCTGTTTCTCTTTTGTAAAATTGTAATAATTATACCTACCCCACAGAATTATTGACTAAATGTGATTTCTTATGTAAAATCTTTAGCACCAGGCCTATACCAATCATAAGGAATCGGTGTTATCTATTATTAGTAAATGGTTTGTCCATGAAAAGATGACCATGCATAAAAAAGTTATAAAACAGTACAGGACAATCCTATTTTCATAGAAATTTATGTATTATATGTATTTTTTCTTTTAAAGTAAGTCCCCGACTTACAAACAAGTTCTATTTCAGGAGAATGTTTGTGAGTCAGATTCGTTATTAACTGACAAAGTGAGTCTTATACACCTGTGAATCTTATACAGTACACCTGTGAAAGTTCGTAAGCCAGGGACTTACTATATATTATATAGGGAAAAGCCAAGAAATATAGTAACTATTATTATAGCCATCCCAGATATAGTGCTTGCTACATTCCAGGTACTATTTGAGCAGTACCACATTAGGGTTTTAATTTACACAACTATCCTTGGAAACGGGTGTTATTATTACCCTTAACTTAGAAGGAAATGGGCCCAGGAGAGAGAAAGAGACCGTAATTCACCTATGAATGCTGGCAGGCAAATGGAGACATGCATGGGCTTTGCACTGGACAGGTGTCCCAGAACCCAGTCACTTGGCCATCAGTGTCTGTCCTTTCTATACTCGAAGCTGTTAGCAGTTGCAAAGTAATAAGGTTACTTTGCATGCCCCAAGATTATCTGTATTTTCTTATGTTTCTACAAATAACCTACATTAGTTGTTTAATAACAAAATTTTTTTTTGTTTTTTTAATGTTGAATATAATTTGCGGTTCTCAAGGTCCATGAAAACCAGTTCTAGCAAGCTCGCTCTATCCTGCCCTAGGAGATGTCCAAAACCATGGGCTGCTTCCCCTTTTGTTTGGCTTTGTGGCTTGTTATCTGGACAGAAAAATCAGTATTTTGGGATTCCTGGAATGTTGACATGCCTCTCAAACCCCTCAAGAGATTTGAGGCAGAAACACTGTTTTGATTTTACGACATACTTCATTTACAAAGACAGAACATCCAGCTCCTTGGATAAATTAAACATCATACACTCAAGAATATAAGAAGAATTCATCCAACAGCTGCTGACAGTCAGGAAGAACCTTCAAAAAATTGTGAAATCTCCCCCACCCCCACTTCCCAGTCTCAGGACTCCCAGTCCTGCACCCCACCCCATCCACCACGCTCTCAGAACCTACCCTCAGGGTGATTTTGCTTTTATAGCCAGACTTTAAAGGCTGTTTGTACTTTAGTCCCTCTTATTTTCATTTTAATCCTAACCTCTGATGGGGGCGGGGGTTTGCAGGCATTCGGCACAGGAAGAGAAGTTGGAAAGGGGACATGATACTAACCCTGAACACATCTCATGATCATTGGGTAATGAGAGGCAGGTAAAGGATGTCAGGTTTTATTCTTCACCACCAACCCTTGCATGCTCTGAGAAAAGCATCATTATTAACACATAACCCAGCCATTAGGGGCATAGAAAGAAGCCATCGGGTGAAAAGACCCCAGTGCAGGCTGAAACATTAACAGCAACATCTGCATGCACAAGTTCCCTTTGCCTTCACCCCTTTCCTAGGGAAGAAGAGCCCACAAGGCCATGGAAGAGCCAGGAAGGGGAAAAGCAATCTGAAGTCAGCATGCCAATACTCTTCACTGCTTAGTGGTAGAAGATAGCAGCCTTAGCAAGAAATAAAGAAACAGCAGCACCTTAACATTTAAGAGGAGAAAGGCTGACGACCTTAGGCAGCCTCTTGGTTTAAAAGTTGTGTCCTGCATCTTAGCTGCCTTGTTTTCACATTTGCACTCTAGGACTGGGCAGATATTCATTAGATTATCTAGTTAATCTTGACACAGCCCAGAGATGTCTGTCGAATGTTGACTGTCGAAAGAACAGACAAAAATTTATAACGCTGCAATCATTTAATTAGCAACACTGAAGAATAAGAATAATTAATACTAAGATGAAGGTGAGCCCTCCCCAAATCCAACCCATGCATGTACACTGTACACTCTGCTTCCTCCCATGATTTATCACAGGTGGAGACGATTAGGCACGGTGGTGTTTGCAGAGACTGGCCACAATCCTATCTAGCTGATTGCAGACAGGAGAATACATCATTCTCTAGGTTCTGATAGATAGCCTCATCTGGGAAATGGGACGAATTCCATGTTTTATTTGTCAGAAACAAATGGAATGAGTGTGAAAGTACTTGAAATCTCTCCAACAATGAAAACCATCAGGGCAGATAATAATGACCCATTATCTAGCTCATCTGAGCATTAGTCACTCAGACCATGGTTACACCTGCTCTTCATCACCAGATAAACCGTCTCAGGGCCAAAGAGGGCTGAAAGGGGCTGAAGGGGGATGTTGGGCCAGCTGGTCCTTACCAGTTCTTTGTGTCATACTGCTGAGTCTTGTTAGGTCAATGAGGTGTTTCATTTCCTAAAATATTTGCCCTCTTTTTTTTCTCTCTTCCTACATGAGTCCTAGCATTAAACTGAAATCAGCGAATTATTTTTTTAATGGCAGCCCTAAAATTTACATGTTAAGAGGTTTTCTGTTGTTATTCTCTTAAAAAGATATTTTACCCTAAAATTCATAATCAGAAAAGGCTCCGAAATTTCTCCCTCCAAATAGTTTTTCTCTCCAAAGCTCCCCCTCCTCTCTTCCCTGATGGCTGCCGTGCTCCACTGGGTGTCCCTGCACATTCTTTGGCTCATGGAGTCCACATTCTAAATGTGGTCCTCTTTACTGTGTCCTCATGCAGAGTAAATCCAGAAGTGTTTACTGAGCTTGTACTGGACCCTGTGGTCCCTGGAGCATGCATGAGAGCCACGATTCTTATTCTCTGGGATGATGCAGTCTAGTTTGGGAGCCAACAAATTTAAATGTCTCCATTAACCACAGGAAAAAAGCACAGGCAGTAAACACAATAGGTGTTTCACAGGCTGGTGCCTCACACAGGACACGGAAGACTACTCAGGGAGGCAGGATTTCAGCAGGACCTAAAAAAGATAAATAACAACATCCTTACAATATTTTAGTTCAGAAGGCACTTTTTAAACGTGGTATCTCATCTGAGTCTCATAACTCTAAGAAATACTGATTATGTCCTGATTTAATAGATGAGTATGTAAAAATTTAGAGAGATTCAATAATCTGCCAAAAGATGTCTCTAACACAGTTCTTCAGGGTCCAGAATCAAAGGCCTTTTATTGGCAGCAAGGAAACTAGTTATTGTACAAATGGGACAGGCCCAGTGCTGTGTTAGGTATACTACTTTGCCACAAATCCGATGTTCATCCATACCATGGGAGGAAGAGGTGGGTAAGATCTGGAAAAGATCCAGGACAAAGACTCCTTGGAGTGGGGCAGCTCTGTGTTTAAATGAGCACCATGCATGAGACCTAGCACCTTAGGAGTAGGACTAGGAACCAACATCCATGTTCAAATGGGGTGTGAGGGGGAACAAGGGATCTGTGCGGTAGGAGTTGGCAGACGGTCTTGTCACTGCAGGGCTGGTGTGCAGAGGGTTCATTAGCTGTGACTCCTGGGGGCTCCAGAGAAGAAACCTTGCTGCATTATCTCGCCCAGATCTCACCACACTCTAGTTGGACAGGCAGTTTTCTAATTTTTTTGGCCTTTTAATATGTACACATTTATACTTATTCTCCCCAAGTCAGAAACTCACGTAGTTCTGAAACATTGCATCCTGACTAAAGGAAGCAACCACTTCAAGACCAAGTAGGCAGTCAAAAGATAAAAGTAACTGTCCAAAGGGTACAGCAGATACAGCCATCCCTCAGTATGGGCAAAGGATTGGTTCCAGGACTTTCACCTCCTCCTTAGATACCAAAATCTACAGATACTCACGTCCTTTATATACAACAGCATAGTATTTTCATAGGAACTGCACACATCCTATATACTTTAGATTATCTCTAGATACTTACAGTTATCTCTAGATTACTTATAATGCCAAGTACAATGTGCATGCTATGTAAATTGTTGTATTGTTTAGAGAATAACAAGAAAAAATAACTGTACTCATACAGTACAGATACCATTTCCCCCCACCAAGTATTTCTGATTTGTGGTTGGTTGAATCAAAGGATGTGGACCCTGAGGTTATGAAAGGTTAACTGTATATACTACAACTTAACCAGAACAAACTTCATTGCTCATGTGACTTTTGGGCTACTATTCCAAGCATGGCTTGTGGATCTCTGCTTAAGTCACTAATCCACGGCAATCCATTCCTGGTCAAGATGGTCCTGGCTTCTGACCTCATATGAACATAGCCTGGAGGGACCCCAGATGTCACCTGCTGCACCTCTGAGGCTGGCTGATAATTAACTGTAGACTCCTGGCCTTTAGAGTGATTGGGACTCATATGCATAACGACTCTGGCCATCAGGGTTTCAGAAGGATAAGCATAGTACCCTATAGAAGGTTAAATGGCTTAGAAGTAGAATGGATTACAGAAGGTCAGGGAGAGCACTGAAGCTAATTTAGTCAGCTTTGAGCAGTCTATTGGGTGGTGGTGAAATTCTAAGCACGTGCCAACTCACAGAGGGCCGTGAGCAGAGGAAGTAAAGGTCAAATGCAATTGGGAGGATCTAGCATCTCTTCAGGGAGGCTGTGAAGCTGCTGCACATGGGCTGCCTGATGGGAGAAACACTCACCTCAAGTCCCAGAGATCAACAAGAGTCACTGTCTCCCACTCATACAAGTCAGTCTCACAGATTAGAGGAGAACCAAGGCCCCTGGTTCTTAGTCCTGACTGCTTCCTGGAGTCACCAGAGGATCTCAGAAATCTAAGCCCTGGGCCAGGCATCATGGTGCCCACCTGTAACCCCAATGTAGTATTTGGAAGGATAAGGCAGCAGGATAATGAATTTGAGATGAGCTTCCACAATGTAGTGAGATGCTGCTTCAAAAACAAAACAAATAAGCAAACCTGATGTGCCAGTCCTGCTGCCAGTGATGCTGATTTGTCAGGTCTGGGATGTGACCTGGCAGTGGTAGTTTGAGAGCTCCCTGCGTGGTGTACATGTGTAGTGAGTGTTGAGAACCACCACTTCACATCAGTCAGTTTTAAAGCTTTGTTGTTGTTGGTTGGTTGGTTGGTGATTTGGGTTCTTGTTTGGTGGAATCTGGAGTTAATTGTCTTTGGAGATGCAAACAGCAATATTACTTTTTTTCTCAAAGACGTAGGAAGAAAAGAAAACTGATGTTTATGGAGCACTGGGACAGGGTGCCTGCCCTAAACGATTTTTTGACCCTTACTTATCCAATGTGGCATCATTGGTTCCATTTTCAAAGAACAGAGGCTTTCAGTTTTAGCCAGCATCAGAATCACCTACAAGGCTTTTCTATATAACCAGGATTTCTGAGCCTGTTGTCACACATCTATGGAGGACTGAGACCCAGGTCTACTTCTAACACCTAACCATGCCTCTTTCCTCTGCCAAGCACCGTGTCCACATTCATCGTGTCCCACATATTTGATGTCACCGTCATAAACCAAATGAGTATTTTATCTAGGAGCTAGCGGGACCATCACTTTATCAGATGCAATGGCTATAAACAGGGAGGTAAAAATAATGAGACAGAGTCTGGAACTAGGTACCATGTAAAAAGTGGCTACCCTTTGCAGTAGTCACTTGTGGAGAAAGCTAGGACTTTATTTGGTGAGGTAGTCACTTGAACTAAGTATTTTGGGAGGTCTCTTCAGAATTAATTTCAGAGCCCCCCCCCACATACACAATCAGTCACAATACCTCATAGCATATTCATTTTAAGTCCCAAACACTCTTCTTCAGTTTACCAACCCTTTGTCACCAGAATAGGCTGTGGATGGCTTGTAGTTGCTGGAAATAAAAGGTGTCTCCAAATGATAAGATTTTGCCCCAACTGATGGCATTCAAAAGATCAGTCTTGGCTCTGGGGGCAATCTGAAAGAGTGGCAGAAATGTTTCAAATGGAGGCAGTGTTTTGGGGGCCAACCTTCTGGGAGCATCCTGATGTTTGTTCAAAGGCAGTAGCGATTAGTAGGGGCATCTATCATATAGAGGAGGAAAAGGCTGTAGGCAGTCAAAGTAGAAGACATTAAATTGGCAAACTAGGACAAAGGAAAAAAGGTACCGATATACTTAAATACACACACCTTTTGAAAGGCATGGTCTCTGTCCTGAAAGAGAAGACTAATAACATAGACTAGTATGTGAAATGTCCTAAAAGAAGGAAAAGGAGGAGGAAGACATGAAGGCCGGAGTAGCTAAAGTCAGGGTGGATGCTTCCACCCGCCTCTTCCCTGAAGGGATAGTCCTGGAAAGCATCTCACACTCAACCTCCCACACCTCCTCCTCTGGGCTGAGCTCCAGCTGCCTGACCCATTCTGGGGTCACTGGCCCTCGGGCTGGGGGACCTGGACTGCATTCAGAGCTGACAGCAACTTCAGGGCTTCCCCAACTTGGCCCACTAATGGTCAATTCTGCTTGAGGCTGACTGGAGATTCTTATCTGCTGGCCTCCTCTGCTCCAGGCACCTTAGAGAAGAGAGCAGCAGATTCAATTACCACACAGCCCATCTGGGGCTCCAGACACCCTGCTCCTTACATCATCTGAGGACACCTGGAGTGTCCCCAGCCCCGCTGCGAAAGCTGGGAGTGGACAAGAGTAGCCATGAAAAGCTGTCCCTATACTGAACTTCACAAGCTCAGGCCCATTCCGTGTTCTGGTCTGAATGTTTATGTCCCCCTCCTCAAATTCACATGTTGGAATCCTCACCCGCAATGTGAGGGTATTTGAAAGTGGGGCCTTTGAAATATGATTAAAGCATGAAGGTGGAGTCCTCATACAAGAGGCCCAGGCAAGATCCCTCATTCCTCCCACCATGTGGTAACACAGAAGGCTCCATTCTGTGCAGCAGGAGGTGGGCCCGCTTCAGACACTCAATCG